ATATATTTCGCCTCCCAAGACTTTACACATTTCCTCTTTGCTTTTCATTCGGGGTCATCTTGCGCTTTATCAGTTGAATCACTTTGATCATCCGTTTGAGATGTTGACGGGTTGGCTGAACCTTTTACCCCACAGTCAAACAACTTAATTTGCTTCGCCATTTTTTGTAAATCAAACACACGGCGCACCGCCCACGCGAGTAAACGTGCATCGCTTTCTGGCTCCGTAATCACACCAATGCACGTGTAACTTATGTATCAGGTTCCGACTGGTCACAACAATAATTAAATATCACTCTTAATACAACAAATATTTATCTATTTTGGGGTGCACATTTAGCTGTTTGCTGTCCTTATTTCTTTATGTGAAAAACTGGTTGCCACTGATGGAAACCAAAGGCCAAGAAGTGGTTGAAATTGTTTCTGAATGGTTGCCAATGGCAACCTGGCAAACCGTTACTGTCGAGCCCTGCCACAGACCTTATTTCAGGCATCAAACCAAAAGCCATTCCAAAAGCCATTGACTTTGAGACAAGGCAACTGGAATACTTATACCTGCAGCGCTCCATCATTTATGACAGCAGAGGCAGAATAAACATAACCGAGGCAGACGTTGTGACAAGTGGGGATCATTTCTCATGAGACTCCACTAGATGTAATGTTTCCTTATTTAATGGCCGATTGTATCATACACTGTTTGCAGTTTAAAGTGATGCAGTAGCTTTCTAGACTTAAAACACAATGTTGGATTTGGAGTAATGTGATTACTGCTATTGGACTATGTCTATGTATTCTTATCTTGTGGCAGTATGTCTCAATCTGACTGTTGGACTCTGTGTTACTGTTACAACTTTCTCTTTTTGTAATTGCTTTTTTACCACCTAGGGCTCCCATTGCACTCAGCCATCCGTGGAGAGGGAATCTCTCATTGAGTTAACTCTCCAGAGGTTTGCACTTCTTCTTAGACAGCTACAGGGCTGACTTAGAAACCGTTGTATGACATCGCATGTGCAGGATATCTGGCTTTACTGCTAAACATGACTCCACATGCAAGATGGACTTCTGCTGACAGCTAAGAATGCTTTAAAAAAGACAAGTAGAGCTATACATCCTTGAGAAGTGGAATAAAAAACACAAACTAATAGATAAGTCATTCTATGTGCATTTTGAAAAGACCCTTTATCTGCACAGTCACATGCAGCAGATTAAAAGTAGAGTAGTACAGAGCTGCTAGCACTTTGTATCAGCACTAATCTTTGTAAAAATAAATGAATGAAAAGCGTAATTGCTTTTCGTACTGACTCTTCTAACATGCTTTTATAATTGTGCAATGTAACTTTGGTAATGGTGCGCCATGTTGTCGATATGAGTTTGGAACTCGAGGGACTTTTTGAGTTTAATGAAGATGAAATAAATGAAGGAGTGAAATGTAACTACAGGCACTCAATGTTTGGAGTTTTAAAGTCACAGTTAGGCTTTCAAAACACCAATTTGGGTTGTCAGAAACATGAAAATAGCGCAGTTACAGATGACTCACTCACTGAGGATGTTGTTAATATTCTCACTGACATGGTATTAAAAGCTGCTTTGAATGTAGTGACCTGCGTTGATCTTACATAGCAACTAACATCCACTTCACTCAGAGTTAGCTCAGTTTGTTTTGTCGCTTGCTTCATTGTGCACTGACTGTTTTTTTATTCCAAATGTAAGCTTTTTATGGAGAGTAAGATATTCCTGGTGGGCAGTTTAGCGGACACAGACTAGAAAATAGTTTTAGCCCATTTCTTTGCCACTAAAATATGTGTCTCTGTCTGTGCCTGTCATCCTCAACACTTTCCACTCTCTTTCACTTTCCTTTCCTTTGCTCTCTCCCACAGTTGCTGTCACATGACCCACCAAGTCTCTCCATTCCCTTCATCTTGCCTCTCTTATTCTCACCTCCTATCACACTCTCTGCCTCCCAAACACACACGCATGCTTTTCCTTTCCCTTCATCTTTTCACCTCGCTCTGTTCTTCCTTTTCAGTCCCAGCACGGCACATCTTCATACAATTACTCTCCATTAAAAATGGATTAGATTTCACCTTCACAGTCTGTCTACTGAGAGAAGGAGGGAGTGGACAGAGCAGGGAGGAGCTGTGAGAAATCAGGAGAGGAGGTTAGGAGGGAGCAGATTAGGAAAGGAAACGGAGCGGTGGGGGACAAAAAGGAAAGGATGGAGGTAGAGGAGGCTGCTGGTATCTCAACACCTCACAAATACAGAGGTTTAGGCTGTCCTCCGCTCTCAAAGCAGAGTCAAAATAAGCAGTTCACCCTCTTAGATATTTGTTATCACTTGTTTTTTCGTGACAAATAGTTCTAAAATAGTGTGAACTTGTCTGTCACACGTTTGTTCAGTCACTGAGAAATGGCTGCAATTCAAGAACAAATTGCCCGCTCAGTACAGCTCAATGGCTCTCAGAGGTTTCAAGACTAGATGCAAAAAGGAAGGTTAAAGAAAAGTCACAGAGGTTGTTTATTTAAGTCACGTCAAGGATGTGTAAGAAGCATGCAAGTGGCGTCGTCGTCTTTATACACGAACAACACACAATCGTCTGCATATTAAAGTGAATTAGAATGTGCTGTTAAAGGAGACCATTTTTGTCGTCGATTTGAACAGAATGTTGCCAAAAACACATAGAGGTGAAAGTCAGAAAGTTCTGGAAATGTGACCTCTTTGGAAGCACATCATTTTTTAGAACATTTTGCGAGTCATGCCTACACATGTTATGCTTTTCCTGTGTCAGTCCTTCAGGAGCACTTGCTCTGAGTATCTAATATTGCCACGGTGTGAAATGACACGTGAGAAGAAAAGATAATGATAAACGTGTGAAAGAATGGCGGGTTATTCATATTTGCCATTTAGTGAGACCATGCTCATAAGGATCACAATACTGCATTGACTAGTTGTGGGTGTTTCCATATCACACACCTGAGACTTGATCAAACAGCAAATCAGTTTTGGTATGTTTTAAACCTGAACAAATATCCAAGTACTTAAGGCATAGTCAGAATAATGTGATTGACAAAAATATGATTGGTTCTCTGAAATGTGTGTCTTGTGCCACGACACTGAGCAGAGGGCCGTCCTGGTCCATTGTTGTGCAGCTTTGTGCCAGAGGGAGCAGATGGTCATGGTGTGCTCTCAAGAGGTGAGGGGGTCTGGGGCTAGAGGAGCTCCAGTCAGCCCCCCCCTCACTCATCCTCTTTTTCCCACCTTGGGGTTAAGAAGGGTTAAATCTAATCTGCTCCTGCTGTGTGTGTGTGTGTGTGCGTGTGTGTGTGTGTGTGTGTGTGTGTGTGTGTGTGTGTGTGTGTGTGCGCGTGTGTGTGTGTGTGTGTGTGTGTGTGTGTGTGTGTGTGTGTGTCTTGGATTGTCCTCATTCCAACTGCACAGTTAGTCTAGACTGCTTCCCAGCCTGAATCTGCATTGTTTCTCTCTGACAGAGGGAGATTATTAATTGAAGACTGTCAGTACACGGAGTTATCAGTTTCTGTTGACACTGTCAATGTAATTTCCCTCTATATTATTTTGTAGTTAGGGATGCTTTTGTATTAGATTGTGTTTTAAGTTGAAAGAGAATCTAATTAAGTCACCAAGGCAGAGCTTTTCTTTGTCCCACAACTATCTAAATCTTAAAAAGTAGTCAAAACATCACAGAGTAGCTGCGACCACTTTCATTTTTTGGGTTGCAAAGACGTTTTTCTCTAAGGCTGCAACTAAAGACTATTTTTTTTATTGATTAATCAATACATTATTTGTTTTAGTCAATTCTTCCACATTTTTCTTATTTATTTTCAATCTATTGATTAATTTCTGACCAGTCGATTAGTCTTTTGCTTAACTGAATTATACATGATAATTCTTCAACCTTTTATACAAATAATAAAATATTGTTTGTATATAACGATACACAACAATACTGCACATTACTATATACTATAATATAATGTAAGGCAAGGTTTTGTATCATACAAATTTCAGCTGTAAAATTATTCACAGCTGCAAACATAGTTTATTCAAAATGAATCCGTCTATAATATCTGTCCATCTCACCCTCTCTTACGTTTATAGCAGTTATAACAAACGGGTCATGTATCGTGTCATGAATATATATAAAGCCTAAACACCTGCAACACTCTGCTCGAAAAGAAACTTGGCCAAGACGAGACGTTTTTGATACCTCATGTGTCTTTTCATATGATTTATCTCAAAATAGATCAGCATATTATTGCTAGACCAAACCTCACATACATCTCACTTATAGAGGAATTTAAACGTTGAATATTTCACTGCTATATTTAGCTTTTGAGTCATCAATCATCTGGTTTCATAGAAAAAGAACCAAGCATTCCCATTTGACTGCTGTCAAAGCCTATAACTCTATGTTAATGTTTCATTTCTTTACATTTAGCATGTTGCCTCACAATGCTTAGCTGCTAAAGATTCTCCCGCCCTTGGGCCTGTGGAATCAAATTTAAACTCATTGCATGAGTTTAGGAATCCATAGCTATCAGCCACTTTCTCTACATCTGTGAGAAGAGTTGTTTTTTGGAGGAACAGGGTTTTAATCAGACGGCCGGCAGCAGGACGTTTCATTGTGACGAACCGGTCTGTGGGACGAATCCGACAGACTGAGATGCAACACAGCCCTCTGGAAGAAGTGTGTGTGGACATGTGTGTGTGCGTGTGCATGGAGGAAGCCTCTGTGTGTGGGTGTGTACAAATGTGTTTATAGAGTAATAGTCTGCTCTTTCCCTCATTACTTTGAGAGACGATGTAGCCTGGAGAATACATCGCTGTGTACTCCAACACTCCCACTTTGTCAAACGATTCACTACCAAACACAACGCGCCTTTCAGGAACGCCATCGGATTTGGCTCAGACTTTTTCTTTTTGTCATTGAACTTATTTGTCTAACATGTCTCCTTCTCTCTCTTTCTCCCTTCTCACTCCTGCAGACGCCCCGGTGGCAGAGTTACATGACCTGTTCTGTAAGAAGCTGCAGCAGTGCTGCGTGCTGTTTGATTTCCTGGACTGCGTGGCCGACCTGAAGGGGAAGGAGATCAAACGGGCAGCGCTCAACGAGCTGGTGGAGAGCGTGGCCACGAGCAGAGGAGTTCTCATAGAGCCTCTGTACCCCGAGGCCATAAAGATGGTAGGAGGCAATGGCGACTCTACACCAATTGAACTGGGGGGACCGAGCTGGGGCCAGTTAATGAATGAGAGGGACACATGTAATGCTGGACAAGGGAGACAAAGACATTGTTCAAGATTTAAACTTTTTCAGTTCAATCAAAGTGCACAAAAAATATAATATAACATTCTTGTGTCAATGACTTAGTTACAATTTTAGTTTAATTGCTTACTTTACCATTAACCTAAATGCAGTTGAGGTATTACATACATTATTTATGTAGCCAAACATAGTTTTTATTTACATTTTTCATATTTGTCGGTATTTGTTTTAGTAACAGAATTTGTTTTAGTAATTTAGTTTTAATTTATTTAATTATATTACTGAAAAAAAACATTTTTTTTTATCTTAGGCCCAGATTACAGCACAGTATTGGCTGCAACACTATCGGAAATTGCATTATCATAGATGTATTCTTTTGGAGGGGGGGCTCAGAGGGGTCCAAGCACAGTGTTACAGCACCCCCATAGAACCGGCCATGGCAGGGGGAGAGGGGTGGACATGATGGACTGTCAGATGGAGAGATGAAAGGAAGAACATTTGAGCACAAACAGTGTTCCTTCAATCCTCATCACCCAGACACCTAGAAAAAGAGAGACACTGTGATATCCAGCTGAGGCTTTAATAAAAGAATAGTGAGGAGAGATAATTTGCAAAGGGTGCTAAGCAGCAATAGGCTGCACAGATGTTGAGAGAGGGAGGGATGGACAGGAACGATAGAGGGGAGGAAAATGTGTGCACACCAACGCAAGTCCCAGAGGATATAGAAAGGAGGAAAGGGAAAAGGGGATTGAGGAGAGAAGGTGAAGCGGGCAGAAGATAGAGCTTATGCTATGGAGTCACTATACCCAGAGGATGTGAAAATGCTGATAGGACAGAGGATGGGATGAAAGGAAAGAGGGAAAAGCTTTAATGTGTGGCCACAAGGAAGGAACCTTAAAAGAAGATGCTAATAAGTGCATAGGTTAGAGCCCAAGGCAGTGCAACAGAATAAATGCCATACAGGATGAAAGTTAGAGATGATGGAAATATTGTAGAATTTCACTCTTATTGTCGTTATCCCTCAGAAGTGTGTGCTTATGAACTTTTTTAAATCCAAGCTAGATGTACATCATTTGAAACAAGCCTATATTTTCGTGCAGTTTTTTCTTACAAAGTTTTAATGTAAGCATATGGAGAGAAGGAGCAGCAGGAGAATAATGCTGAATTGGGGCATTTGCTTTTTGCAATATAGTTTATGCACTAAATGGCCAATGGAAATGCATTTGTTGAATTAATCATGACTCTGCTGGCAGCCAGGTTGCAACGCTAAACAGTTCCTCTCAAACACAGAACAGCATCAAAGACGGTCAACTGAAGTCATGACATTACATCTAATTGATAGAAACACCATTTTCTCACATTAACAGGAATGTGCTATAAGTCATTTGGTCATTTGGCTCTTTCTTATCTGCCTCTCAACCTCTCAACCTCTCTTTCGTTTTCCAGATCTCAGTAAATATCTTCCGGACCCTCCCGCCCAGCGAGAACCCAGAGTTTGACCCTGAGGAAGATGAACCAACACTCGAAGCCTCCTGGCCGCATCTGCAGGTACATTGTTCATGTTGTGGTAGAATAATTGACATGCTTTCATACGTTTTCTCCTGCAGAGGTAAAAGAAACAAAGTGAAACACAATGCAGTGTCAGTCACTGCTTGAAAAATAGGCCCTACTATATATACATACTGTATTTGCGATTGTGGACAATGCCTTAAAGCACACATCTCCCAGGTGTTGCTTTTAATGCCACATTCAGCCCTTCCTGAACATATTGTACCTGTGGTTCTTCAGTTCAGTTCAATCTGCTGTTCAATGCAACATCCTTATGCCCAAATGTAGCTGTTTTATCAGCGGGACTTACAAAATGGAGCTCTCGCTAAGAAGAAATTCACATTTTCTCAATTCACTTGACATTTGGGTGTGGTGTGTACAGTCACTTCTCCTCCTTCAGGATGAGATGAATCAAAAGTGTGAAGTCCAAAATGCGTCATGAAGCAAAGTCTTCTTTCTTTTCCCGCATAGTTGGGATCTTTTGGTATAAAATTGAGCACAAAGCGAGCAGATGATGTTCTCTGATGTCAACTTTGAAGATGTTTGAGTTCCTAAACTCAGATTTTTGAAAGAAGCTCCTGAAGTTGCTGCCATTTTGAGCGGTCATCATGTTACCTAGAGCAACATTTATATGCTTTCTTGCCAAAAGTGAGATGGGGAGATTGACACCACTCTCTACAGACATGAGTGTTGTTATCTTCTCTTCCAACTCTCGTCAAGAAAATGAATAATTCACCAAATGTCAAACTATTCCTTCAGAAGGCAAACGCAGACAATAGTTGACGTCTTATCTCTTGCTGTTTGTGCCTCCATTAGCTGGTGTACGAGTTCTTTCTGCGTTTCCTGGAGAGCCCGGACTTCCAGCCCTCCATGGCCAAGCGCTACGTCGACCAGAAGTTTGTCCTGCAGGTAATCCTCTCCTCTTCTCGCAGTTTGTCGAATCCAAATCTCTGGGATGTTTCTAAAATCTTGATAAATGGAGAGGTATAAATAAATTAAGCCCTTCTTTGAAACGGCAGCCATCGCAGAGCCTACTTATATCCCTGCTGGAGCGCTCTCAAATGTAGTTATCTAAGTTGGGGCATGTATAAAAAAATTGACAAAGAGACTCCAAAGTTCTTGACGTGTAATCTTTTTTCTTTAATCCTGTTTTAGTAATGAAGTAAAAAACACTTTGTAATATTCATTTTGGTGGGTAAAAATACCACCATGTTCCCACGATTTGGATGTAGAAGGGAGAAGGTTATAATGTATTTGTAATTATCTCCTCTGTGTGCAGCTGCTGGAGCTGTTTGACAGCGAGGACCCCAGGGAGAGGGAGTACCTAAAGACCATCCTGCACCGTGTCTATGGAAAATTACTGGGACTCCGAGCGTACATCCGCAAACAGATCAACAACATCTTCCTCAGGTATACCATCAATCCAATGCACAGGACGTAACAGTGCTATTTATAGCCCCTTTAACATCAATAAATCAAACGTTAGCCAACAAAGACCATCAGCAGGGGGAAACGCTGCGTTTATAACCACTGTAATGCATCGTTTTAGCTTGGGGCGTCATGATTTTATAGCAAGTCATTTTAAAGTGTTTCAGAATCCTAAATAAGGGAAAACCTCACACATTGTTTGGTTACCCTCTTTGCTTGTCTTACAAAACGAAATGTGCTATACTTTTGTATTGAAACCCGACACAAACAGTGTAAATCTCCTTTTTAATTAGGTGAATAAATCCTAGTAATTATATTGGATTTTTTATATGTAGCCGCGAGTGATGATGGCTTCTGTAGTTCTTTTGCTGACTCAGAACTACACCTAAGAGGCTGACGTTAACAGTTTTCCCACACAGCTGCTCGTAATTAAAGTCTGGACAATATGAAGTCTATGGTGCATAAGAATAAACACAGAGAAGACGGTTCATTTTAAAGAAGCAAAACATGCTACATGCAGTATTTTCTGGATCAAATCAAATAGTATTCTGCCAAACATGCACACAAACAGGGCACAGGGCAGCATGCATAAACATGACTGTGCACATTTGCAATCCACGCATCTCCGCTCTGCATCTATCCAAAGTGTTGAATCATCGTGTTGTGACATAAATCTCCTCAAATAACTAGAGTGCTGCGATGTACAATCATGTTTCATCTCACTGAGTGTTCCTGAATTGTCAATTTTTGCAAAATAATTCAAGCACAGCACTGCAACGCGCTCTTTTTCTGTCCCAGTCAACTTGTTCCGCTATCATTGTTTTTACATTTTGACGGGTGCAGGTAAGCATTACTCTGCTAAACTGTTATTGTACTTTAATCTCATCTAAACATCACAGAAGTAACAGACACAGCACATACAGATATTAAAGCAATTCCCTGCAGGAATAACAAGGAATAATATGCATTTTTTGTTGTTGCAATAATCCAAAATCCAATTGAAAAATCTAATTTGGCTTTTGTGGAGGGAACCAGGGTGATGCTAACGTACACACATATGTGATCCCTGCAGCACTCTGTTTCAAGCGTTGAGAAAAATGCAGTCCTTCTTTTAGTTGCTTTTACATTTGCTGACCTACAATGGTTCCTAGATCAACAAGACATGTGTGTTTTGTTTTTTAGGTTCATATATGAAACTGAGCACTTCAACGGAGTCGCGGAGCTTCTGGAAATCCTCGGCAGGTTCGTAACCATAATCACACACACACATTTTAGAGCTGCTGCTATGGAGGAAAGTATACTCTGTAGTATATCATTGCTTAATGAATGCATTTTGATTTGAGTGTGAACAAACACACACACTCTTACACACAAACTCTACTTGGCCAGCTGCTCCTATTCAGGAGACAGCTGGAAACTCAGTGAATTGAGCAACTACGAAAAATGGCTGCAACAGCTCAACACAATAAGCAATAAGCATTTCTTTTTTGATTTATCGTCTTAGTTGCTTCTTTCTTATCAGGTAAAAACAACTATGTGTTTAGAGCTTGACAGATTGAGAAATTAGTTGTAAGGCAGGGGGGAATTAGTAAATCTGGGGGGTGGCAGGAAGGAAGGGAGGTTAAATACATACATGGAACTGACTCAGAGGTTTGTGTGGTGTATTGCTTTGTCTCTAGAGCCAGTAACAGAAATATGAGAAAGATAGAAATGAGAGAGCAAGGGGCTAATAAACAACATGTCCCACTCTCTGCCTGTGTTCGTAAGCAAATCGATGGGAGACACAGTAATAAAGATAAAGAAATGGGAGGGAGAATATGGAGAATGAAAACAAACTAAATCTGTGATACTATAATGTTTGTTTTGCTCATCCATGTCTGTGCGTTACTAAACTAAAGTCTTTGCATGGCTAGCTTAGCAAAAGGTCTTTAGCATCACAACATAGCCACAGTATTTAGCTGGCTAGGTACGTGCAACCCAGTCTCACGGCATTTCGTGTTATAGTCACGAAATGTAATCTATTGATTCGTGTTAACCAACACGACTTCCCCATTTTCTTTCGTGCCACACAGAACGATTTTAAAAACGATGTAAATAATAACAAATTAGAAGGAAAAGATAAAAAAAATACAGATTTCAGTATTCTGAGGCTCTGAGCCCCATTTATTTTCCTCACAGACGGCAAAAAAGGTCCGACATTATACGATTCAAAATAAAAACAATAATCGTGCCTTGATATTGAGTAAGAAAATGTTTTTATGAATCACACAGCTTCCGGTCTTCCAAGACCCGACCGAACAAAAATAAGTGGTGCAGGCACGAAACATTCTACCAATAGAAATACATTGCTTTTAAAATCGTTCTGTGTGACACGAAAAAAATGGGAAAATCGTGTTGGTGAACACGAATCAATAGATTCAATGTATTTCGAAATGCCGTGAGACTGGGTTGGTACGTAGCATGTGGCCTTGTTGAGATAAATACACAACCCAGTCTCATGGCATTTCGTGTTCACCAACACGATTTTTAATCTATTGATTCGTGAGCCTCAGGATACTGAAATCTGTATTTTTTAAATCTTTTTTTCCTTCTAATTTGTTATTCTTTTCAAAATAACACACTGTTATTTACTCACCAATAACACACAATTATCTTTGCTTTTATTTATTGGTTTAATTCCATAATCTCTGGCTTTTTTGGCATCCGTCAGGAACTGAATTTCAAAATAAAAATAACCGGAAACAGACTTAGGCATTTCGAGCGATTACCCAAGATCCTCAGCTATGGTTTTAAGCTCGCTGATTGGATGTTTTAGCCGCAATGCATGCTGGGATTTGGTGTTTATATGATATGAAATCCGGAAAACATTTTAAAAGAATAAAATAATACTTAATTCCGAGTGTGCTTGCTTTTCTCTTTGAAAGTCATCACATAACGGCATTGTAATACACGGTTCGGCTGCATTGTATATTACAGATCTGCCGTATTTATAGAGCCCTGATGAGAAGACCTTTGGAAAAACTGAAGAAATGCCGCCGAAACTGAATACTTGACGTGGATCATAAATATATCAACAATTAAACAACATCTTCAATTTCTCTTCACACAATATGTCTCCTTGCAGTATCAACACTAATTCGGCTGACTTTTACATTTGATCTAATTCATAGATAGGTTATATTTACACCATAACGGTGCACAGCTGATATAAAAGGACTTAAAGATACTGATTTTCTTTGAATGTAAGAATGTAAATACTGAGTCTGAAATAGTATAGCAATATGCTGTAAAATTATGTGAAAGCATGCATAAAACTACACATCTTCAGATGTTGTACGAAAACATAAGTGTCCTACACTAATAATGCAAAGTTATTATGGCTGTGTGTACCTTGTGTGCACCTCCTAGTGGTTAAAGCACGTTATTGAATTCTTGTTTTTATGTGTTATATTTGATTAAAAAAATATTAAGAGTACATACTTTCATAGGGGGAAAGTAGAAATATAGAAATATAGAATATAAAAAATCAAGAAGATACTATAAGTGATCTCTACAATAAAACAGTTTAGTGCAGGATGTACAAAGATATTAATAGGAGGAGGTGCAAAACAGAAAAACGAATTAACCTTTATTTAAACATTAAATAACAGATTAAGGTCTTCTTTTAAATAAGAAAAAAACGTTGGGGGTATCTATCTACAGATAAATATTAAGCCTGGCAAAGTACTTAACGTCTAATATATTGCTTTCCTGCAATGTTAACTATGTTGAAGCACTTATTTTAACTGATATTATACATATGAATTATACTCTTATGTATGTAGATAGAATAAGAAATGTGCAGAATATGACAGTTTAATGGTGGAGGTACACACATACTGATAGATGTCTTGTAATGCACTGTTGAGGAACCTGTGACCCAAGTTTTTCATTCATTGCATAACTACACCGTAGTTGTGTATATGATATGTCAATAAACCTTTGAAAATCTTGAAAGGGATGTGCAAAATAGCAATTATATACAGTTTTTAATGAACTATTAGTAGAGAATAACGAGTAATGAATATACTTTATTACTCGTTTCCATTCATGTCAATTGCAGATGCATGTTTAGTCTTCTCAAGCACCAACTATCAAATATCTCTCCTGATTGTTGGCACTTGACAATCACCTTACCTGAATTTTACTCAGGTGTCACTAAAGTCTGATTTAAGGGTTGTTTATATTTCACATAATTAATCAGAATCTGCAAAGTAACTCAAATAAATGCAGTGGAGTAAAAATACCAGGTTAACCTCTGAATTGTAGTGGAGTAGAATTACAAAGTAACAATGAGCTGTCATGTGGGTATTAATGCTGCGCATTATGGACACAAGCGATTTTCACCCATTTATTAATTATATGTTTTACATTTGATAACACCAATGTGTTTAATACTGGCAACTTCTAATTGTGGGGAAAACGAAAACGTTCAGTAGAGACGTCCCATAGAACATTTTGCGAAACACAATAGCCAGCATGTGTAGTTCTGGGGGGGCGTTCGATTTCAGTTTTGGATAGTCTGGCGTGGTTTCGTTCCATTTCACACAGCTGTTTGACGCTCTGCGTAACCTTACGGGGACTGTAGTCCTAAACGATAGCTGGGGATTATGGGTAGTGTAGTGTCTTCGGCCATCCTAAACTCAGAAATGTTGACAATCGCAATGATGCTCGAAATGTCCCTTATAGGCCTACGTCTGTTTCCGGTTATTTTTATTTTGAAATTCAGTTCCTGACGGACGCCAAAAAAGCCCGAGATTATGGAATTAAACCAATAAATAAAAGCAAGGATAATTGTGTGTTATTGGTGAGTAAATAACAGTGTGTTATTTTGAAAAGAATAACAAATTAGAAGGAAAAAAATATATAAAAATACAGATTTCAGTATTCTGAGGCTCTGAGCCCCATTTATTTTCCTCACAGACGGCAACAAAAGTCCGAATTTATACGATTTAAAATAAAAGCAATAATTGTGGCTTGATATTGAGTAAGAACATGTTTTTATGAACCACACAGCTTCCGGTCTTCCACGACCCGACCGGAGAAAAAGACGTGCTGCAGGCACGAAACACATTACCAGTAGAAATACATTGCTTTTAAAATCGTGCTGTGCAACACGAAAAAAAGGGGAAAATTGTGTTGGTGAACACGAATCAATAGATTAAAATTCGTGTTGGTGAACACGAAATGCCGTGAGACTGGGTTGAAATACATGAGAGGATACCTTCTCTTTCTGTTTCTGCTTTCCTTTCAAGGTCACATTATTTTATTATTGAACACTATCAAAGCAGATATGCTGCAGACTGCACTAGTTTTCCTGAGCTTGGATGATTACTCAGCATTAAAGAGAAGCTAGCAAAGGTAGCTACGTTAGCATGACCATAACATCAATGTTCTCATCTCAGTTGTGTGTCTTTATCTGAGGAAAGTTTTAACAGGTTATCCATGTGTTTACAAGACAGGTGTGTCTCTTGATATGAACTAACATTGTAAGAGATTGGTAAGGCCTATCTTCGAGTGTTTAGAAAGGGAAAAACATGGCAGAGAACACGAAATCCCTCAAAGACTCTCTTTCATATTGAGCTGGGAAAAATATATATTCTTCAGCTTTAACTGTGGTATTCTCCAATCTTAACTCTGATAACAAGATAGCTTTTTATTTGAATGCTGGGTAAAATGTTAAACTACCTTACAGCAGGCTAGTTTAAGGTGACCAGATTTTCAAAATTAAAACCGGGGACATTTTGAGTTTTGCGGTCAATATATCATTAACATATCCAATTTTCTTCACTGTTAAAGAAAAAAGGGGGACAATTCTGGTTCAATGTAATTCGAACATTTGAACTGTTGGATACAAACAGAAGGACAATAGATCATATATGAGACTTCAAAGGTCTTTTATTTTTAAACTGTACATCAGATTGTCCAGATTCTCTCTGAGTGATTAGATGGGTTGTCCTGCTATCACCCTGAAGTGAAATAAGTCTTTGAAACTGGATAGTTTTTGTTTTATTCTTATCTAAAAACAGAGGGATGATAGCTCATATATGAGACTTTAAAGGTCTTTTATTTTGAAACTCTACACCAGATTGTCCTGATTCTCTCTGAGTGACTAGATGGGGTGTCCTGCTATCACCCTGGAGTGAAATAAGTCTTTGATAATTTGACAGTTTTTTATTTATTCTTGTATAAAAACAAAAGGACGATAGCCCATATGAGATTTCAAAAGTATTTTATTTTTGAAATTCTACATCAGATTGTCCTGATTTTCTCTGATTGACTAGATGGGGTCTCCTATCACCCTGAAGTGAAATAAGTATTTGATTGACTTTGAATGACTCGTTGATTATGGACAGTTTCCATTAAATAATAATCAAAATATAGATGGACAATAGATCTAATTTGAGATTTTAAACAGCATACATTTTAAATTGTGTTTCAGAAAGTAATGTTATTTTAGGAGTGTTGTGAGATGGTGTCAACATCAATTGAAATGAGTCACCCAGTGGAAATGTCAGAAATATGTCTTCATAACTGTATACTTACATTTTACATTCACTCAGTTATAATGTGGTAGCTATATGTAGTTTGTTTTAAATTATTATTGATCACATTATATAGTACATATTTCTTAACTTAAGCTCCAGTATATATTAATATGTTTGGTGTGTTTTTTGCGCTTTTGAATGCAGTTTTTACTCTACTGTAATGCATAGGATATTCGCGTACCGCAATACAACGTGCGGGCTGGCTTGACTGTGTTTTCCGTGCGGGCTGGCTTGACCACAGTCTTAAATAAAACTTTTCATGTCAGGAAACATTGGGTAAACACCCAATGTTTCCTGACATGAAAAGTTTCATTTCACCTTGCTATGTGTAAAAAACGGGGACATTTCCGGGGACAGTTTCAACCGGGGACAGGCCAATACAAACGGGGACTGTCCCCGGAAAACGGGGACGTCTGGTCACCCTAGGCTAGTTGGCTGGCGATGTGCGAAGTGGCCAGGGGCGGACTGGGCATCTGTAGAATCTGGAGAATCACAGAACGACCTGTCGTCAAGAGCCGTTGACGGCCGGCTCGGTTCGCTGACGGCTGAGACCGCCCTTAATTGTCTATGTTTTTAAACGGCATCATTGAAGTTGCGCCGATAGCGTTGACAGTCCTAGTCACTAGCACCCCTCGTTGACAATTCACGTGGGCTGGTCTGGGTGAGATTCCAGGGCTGTTTTTTTGTCCCCTGGAATTGGCTCTGTGATGCTAACGCACATAACAGGAGAGGGTTGTTAATTCCTTTGTGGAAGGAACCAAATGCATACATACATACAGTATGAATGAATCTGTCCCATATACAATGTAGACTTGCTTCAGAGCAAGTTTGAGGCAGAGATATTAGCAATTAGTTTTAAATTGACATACATAAACAGACAAGTTGATAGAAGTTTAGACACAAGAGATTGACGAAGACAGAATTAACATAAGAGGATGGAAGCTGATAAATCAAAAACAAACAAACAAATCAGTGCTAAATATTAATTAATTTCTCGTGCGCACGAGTTACTAAAGTGTGCGCACGAGTTAATAAAGCGTGGCCTCGTTTTATTTAAATTGAGGGATTCCTGTCCGTGACTCACAGTATCTGCTGCCCACAGCTGTTTTATAGAAGGAAAACCTCCTTCACTTTATGAAATCTCAGCGGCACCAGTGGCCTGTACTACGAAGCAGGATTGGCTATTTACACTATTCATTCATGAAGTATGATGCTGCGCTGTCAGCACGCGTCTCCATGTTTGTGATTGGTCAAATGTTGCTAACCCCGTCCCTTTCACGTGAACGCGCTCTCAGCCGGACAGAGAAACCCTGGTTGATTTACTGAGTTGATAACCAGCTTCGTAGGACCGCTTATCGACATCGCGTTTGTTAGGGTCAGTTAAGCCGGGTAAATCGAACATATTCAGGTCCAGGGTCTGTTGAACTGGCTTCGTCGTACAGGGCACTGGAGGCAGTAACGTGTAACTCAGCAGAATCTGAGAAGAGCAGCACCAGCTGCAAAGAGCTGTGCCTTTTACTGTTTACTTCACTGCGTTTCCCTTCATTAGAACCGCTGAATAGAGATCGAGGCTGCTACGTTTAACCACACACACCTATACACACATCGAACTACCAGAGTATTCCCCCTCGCTTTATGAAGGAGATGTCCTGTCACCGGGGCGCATGATGTGTGTGTGTGTGTGCTCAGCTCCGCTCTGTGTGCGTGTTCGTGTGTATCCGACACCACCGGCATTTGTTTTCAAATTACCACGAACAGTACTTTAAACAAATCTGGTTCCCCATAGTTAAGTGTATTCCCAAGTGAAAGAAATGTGTTTAATCTTAATCTCGATGTGCTATAGTCCTGCCGGAGTGCACCGGAACGAACGATACTATCATAAACAAATGCCCCCCCCCCACACACACACACACACACACACACACACACAAAACGAGGCCATGCTTTATTAACTCGTGCGCACGCTTTAGTAACTCGTGCGCACGCTTTAGTAACTCGTGCGCACGAGTTACTAAAGCGTGCGCACGAGAAAGTAAAACGTGGCCACGTTTTATTTATTTTTCTCTCTATGAACCCTCCAGGGCTCCGTAGTTTAGCATAGAAAAAAGTAAGAGAATTAAAATATTTTTTGGATTGAAAATATTTAGGGTGATGGGAAGGATTTGTCTGAAAGAGCTAATACTTAACATTACACTAAATTCATACAAAATCTGGGCTACCATTTCACCTGACCAAAAAAGTGAGATGAAATATGAATGAAGTTTCAGAATGTGGGTTAATGTAGAGAAAAGAGGGGGAGGTAGAGAAGAGGATGAATCCAAGGTGAGAAAATGGAGGGAGGGTTGGGGGGGAGGGAGAGAGGATGAGTGAGTCAGAAGAGGAGAGCAGGAGAGGAGAGAGAGAGGTTCGTATTCATGTTGGTGGTAACAGAGGTATTTATAGCTCCTCCCACACACGGAGAGAGGGAGAGAGGGATGGCTGAGGGAGGATGCGTTGTACAGGAAGTAAAAGAGAGAGAGAGAGACGGAGAGGAAGAAGAGAAGAGGAGGCTGAGGGAAAGATCAGAGGAACAGCAGGAGGGAGATATTATTGAAGAAATCTTCTTTTAGACAAAGATGCTAATAGAAAATGAAGGCAAGACAGACAGACAGGTAAATAAGAGTCACACTGCAGGTTTAGTCCCCCCCCTTCCCCCCGCAGGCTAAACTACACCTATGACAATCAGTGCAGCGGTGGCCACAGACCACACATTTGTCCAGTCACTTGGAAATGGACACAGTACAAGAATAGACTCCAACACACACACACATTTGCACACAGAACATGAAAGGATTGTGAGGCAGTCGGCCCCTGGGCACATACAGTATGTGCAGAAAGGCCCCGCCAACGCTCCTACATAGAAGCAACATACACAGACTCTATAGTTAAATAATGTGTCTCTTTTATATAGTATTAGTCTTTTTCCCCTATTTCTGTAGTAATTGTTTGTCTCTTCATAGTTGTTATGAGGCTCTTTGTGTTTCTTTCAGCTGTTGTTGTTTTGTGTTTATAATAGTTTTTGCATTTTTGTATTGGTCTGTAGTTGCTTTGCCCCTTTTGTAGTCGTTTGTGTGTCTTAGCACTTGCTCTGCGCCACTTTTTTTAGAGACTCAAAGCAAGTGCTAGGAGACACTTGCTTTGAGTCTCTTTTTGTCTCTTTGCAGTCATTTTGCTTTGTTTGTAGCTGTTTGGTGTCTTTGTTGTCTCTTTGTGGTCGTCATGTGTCTTTGTTGTCTCTTTGTGGTCGTCATGTGTCTTTGTTGTCTCTTTGTGGTCGTCATGTGTCTTTGTTGTCTCTTTGTGGTCGTCATGCGATTTTTCATAGTCATCATGAGTCTGTTTGTATCTCTTTATAGTCTTTTTATGTTTCTTCGTAGACATTTTGAATCTCTTCTTGGTTGATGTATGTCTTTTTGAGGGACATTTTGTAGTTGGCCCTGTAGGCCTGTACATTAATACATTCATCGAAGTATATAGGTTAAGGAGTTTAATGCAATGCTTTTTGGTAAATACATATCCATTTAACTACTGTCCATAAAGTTAACATACCAAAAGTATAACCTTCTTAAGTAAGAAAGCAAACATGATTTTTAAAAGAGTTAAAATGCCACAAAGTGGAAGTATTTATACTGTATTTACCTGTCCCTTTTCCTCCTGCAGCATCATAAACGGCTTCGCCTTGCCCCTGAAGGCCGAACACAAGCAGTTCCTGGTCCGGGTTCTCATCCCGCTACACACGGCAAAGTCCCTTTCCATCTTCCACGCACAGGTCAGGGACATTCCCATGCATAATTCCAGTATTTAATTGTCTTAGTTTGTAAATATTTGTCGTAATATTTCTTCGATGTGTATTATATGTCTTTCAAGGGTTCACATTAAGGTTAGGTTCTAATGATTTTAGATTTTTAGGCAAAGAACAACAAAACTTTGATGAATGTTTTATGTTTGCCACTGAAACTACAAAACTATGAAATTAAACCCAAAATGGGCAGTTCTTCTCCGAACTTAGGCATGCATTACTGAAGATTATAGAGAACTTACCCCCCCTACTGTCATAAAATCTAACTGATTTGTATTTTATTTTCAGACTTTTCTACTATTAAGAGGAGTTAGCAACTAACAAATCAATCATACAAGAATATGTCTCCTTCCTGCAATGTCTCTGACGTGCCACTAGGAGGCAGAGTTGGGTCGCAGATAATGCTGCAGAGACTCACCTTTGAATTACACTCAGTGCGTTGGCCTTCGGTGTGTTTCTGTACGTGAATGTGTGTTTGGGTTATTATAATATTTGGCAGCCAGTTTTTGGTGTGTGCATTTTGTTCCTGCCACACGTATCAGATGATGTGTGTGTATTCTGAGGCTCAGCATCACCGTGCCCTACATTTCTCCTCCCCGTCTCTCTCTGTGGTTCACACACATACATTATTCACACACTCAAACACACAGTTTGACAGGGTCACGGGGGATACAGTGATGGCGGACAGCAGTTTGTGCTCGGTAGGCGTGGCTCTGCATGAGTGACCCACTTCTGGATATTAATATCAAGATATTAGATCACAGCAGCACCTTTGATTCATCTTTAGGGTTTTCAGACACTTTGAATCATCCTTCCCGTAGCCTTTTCTCATTTTTATTCAGGTCACTGGATTGTAGTAACAGCTATAATGTGAAGCATTACCATGGTTACGCATCATGCTTCCAAATGGCAAAAAGCAAATGCAGTGCTTTAATATTTTAAGCACATAAAAGACTGTTTATTTGAAAGTGGAGCTGATATATATGTTTTTAATGCAAAAAAAACAACAGTATTTCCTTGATGGCTGAAACATGTAAAGAAAAGACACTTTATCTTTGTTTCTGCAGTGATAGTAAAAAGTGAGGAGAATATAATTTCCAATTTGTTACATGATTCACAGATCATGCTAATGTGTGTTTATATCAGAGTCATTTAAGTAGTGTTAAAAGATTGAAAAGTCAACTTTTTTATGTGCAAGTCATGGGAAATATGCAGACAAGAAGACAACATCTCTAGAATGAATTCACCCCTAAAAATAGACCCTTATCTGACCTGTGACCTTGACATATAAATAATTAAATATGAATATAATATAAGCTTTAAAAAGATTAAAACCTCCATAATCCTTAGCCTAATAACGGCCTCCTATACACACAATGACAAGCCTGACAACAGAATCCAACATATTCACCCCAAGAGGCTTCTTTAAAGTCTCACTAAGACTCTAAATAGTTTGACCGATCAGTACTTTAATTCTTCTCTTTTTCCTGCTTTTCTGTCAAACTTAACATCCCTCCTTTCTCCGATCCCCTTTATTTTGTTGCCTTTGCTTCCTCTTATCCTCTGCTTCTGTTGTGTTGTGAGTTAGGGACAGGAAAGTTAGGGATGGAGCGATAGAACAAGAAAGAAAAGGGATTAGACAGAGTAAGGAAAAGGTGAAAGCTATGGACGGTTACAACAAAAATTAAATAAAAACCAAACATTAATAATCTGACGGTACACATCCTCTACTGTGCAACTTTACAATTGGACAATCCAGCATAGTTTTGTATTGATGACATGAACATATTGATCTGAAAGTCGTAAAATGTACCAGTAGAGTAATAAGTTGAAAAAGGCAAAGGTAAAAATAGGACAGAGACAGAGAGGCAGAGACAGGAGGTCTAACCTCTATCTCACATTGCCCTTAAGGGACTTTGTGTGTGTGTGACATCACTCCTTCCGAAGTAAACATACGCACACACAGACTCCGTCGCCACGGTGCCCACTCGCCACGGCAACAGGCCTGGGTGGAGGGGGCAACCGCAAAACACACACACGCACGCATGTACGCACGCACACACTCGTGAATAATAGGAAATGATTGCCAGATCGTATAAGATGAGACAAGGGCTCACACACACACACACACACACACACACACACACACACACACACACACACACACACACACACACACACACACACACACACACACACACACACACACACACACACACACACACACGCACACACACTCGTGACACACATCTCCCATTGGAAAACTTGCCTTTCCGATCTTTAGCCGGGTGTAATCCTGAGGGATAAGTGCTAAGATCCCCATTGTCTCCTTGACAGCTTCAGGGAATGTGACTGTGTTTTAGTGTGTGTGTGTGTATATGTTTGTGTATACTGTATGTATATGTGTGTGTGTATGTATGTACACACACACAAAAAGTAAAGGCATTAAGATATAGTGTGTGTTCTAACCACATCTCCTCTTTCCTTACAGCTGGCCTACTGTGTGGTGCAGTTTATGGAGAAAGATGCTACAGTGACTGAATACGTAAGACTGTGTTTTACACTTTCTCGTTACATTTAAAGCATATTGGTTTTCAAGTTTTGCCCATCCTTTCTATCAACCATATCTTTACCAAAAGGAAAGGCCCCGGGTCCTTTCACGTTCAAACAAGTGTAATAAAGGTGCTCTATGGTGCTGGACAAAAAGTAGAAAAAAGAAGTGACGTCTGATTCCTGGTCAAAGTGAATAAGCCTTCAATCAGCTGGCTCTCTAATGGGGAATTTCCCAAAACATAGTCAATGGTTGTACATGCCATGAACCAGATATTTCCTTAAGGAGTTGGAGGAGACCAAAACAGAGCTATAAGGAGAATGAATACTGGACTTGGGTTCTCCAGGTAGCCAGAAACATGACTCCTAATGACTGCTAGTGTAACTCTGCGTCTGCACGATGTGTGAAGTAAGTTGGTTCCTGTTTGCCACGTCAACATTATTCGGTGATAATATGTCATTGTTGTGCCAGAAGATCTATAAACACTGCCTTTAATGAACTCTCACTGCCACTGCTTTAGAATAAATCAGATGTCTTACCCTGCACCGTAACTTCTATTCTTGTATTTTATTCCAGTCTTATTCTATTTTAACTTGTTTTTAATTTAATTTTAATCTCTTGGCTTTGTAATGATCAATTGAAATGTTGTTTGTGTTGCACTATATCTTAATGCCTTTACTTTTTTTGTAAAGCACTTTGAATTGTGTTGAGATATGACATATAAATAAACTTGACTTTTTTTTTTTTCTTCTTTGTATTTATTTATAGAAGGACCATGCATACAAAAACATTAATCTCAGCAAAGAGAAGAGATGCAATATGCCAGATTATAGCTAATAGCTCATTTCCTTCTGTGGTCCTCAGGCAGGTTCATAACAATCAATAAACAAATAATAACATTGCATGATCTCTATCCGTCAAACAATTTTAAAACCTGATTTAAGTACAGCTCAATAAATTAATACATAGTACACTTGAAATACACTTACATGATCTCGGTCACTCAAATAATTACAAAGCCTGATTTAAATTCAGGTTACGAACATAATACTTAGTACACTTCAAATACACTTAAATATCTAATATATAGTATGACAATACAGTTCAAATAAAAAAAACTCAGATTACAGTGTAATTCATGTTGGCATGACTGGTTGCTTAATATCATTTGTTTTGCACCATAGGAAAACGAGTTAAAATCAGTACAGGTTTTAAGTTCAACTGGAAGAGTATTCCAGTGCTTGATGGCTGTAAACAAAAATGCTGATCGTCCTTCCCCAAGTTGGTCAAAGTAGTTTAAAAATTAAAAAACGTTCGCATTTTTTACCCAAAAACAGTTAAATAAATGATATAAGTGATTGACAAAACTATGAAGTAAGACTCAAGTAGTAATAAACTGAAGTCACATGACCATCAAACATCATAATCAGTGTTAGTCCTGTTACTAGTTCACCAATGTCTTTGCTATAACCAAAACAAATCTTCATTTGGCAACAACCAATACAGTAAAAAGAACAACGTTTATAACATATTTGTTAATGGCCCAGCCAGAGTCTGAATCTGAGTTAACGGCACAGATGGACGCCAGCCAGACCCCCTGCTGAGATAAAGGCTGCCGTGTTTATTCTTATTAATGTGCTTCATATTTTCTCTGCAGATCATCAGAGGGCTGCTCAAGTACTGGCCAAAAACGTGCACGCAGAAAGAGGTGAGAAGGGAAATGATAAAAAGATGCAGACTCTCTGTCCTTTATGTATTGATGATACCAATGTGTGTGTGTTCAGGTGATGTTCCTGGGGGAGATTGAGGAGATCCTGGATGTAATCGAGCCCTCTCAGTTCATCCGGGTCCAGGAGCCGCTCTTCAGGCAGATCGCCGCCTGCATCTCCAGCCCTCACTTCCAGGTACACACACAAACACACACACACACACACACACACACACACACACACACACACACACACAACACACACACACACACACACACACACACACACACACACACACACACACACACACACACACACACACACACACCCATAGTAATTTGGGGGACAACAGTAGAAAGGGTCACTTTGAAGCTAGAGCTCTAGATCTAAAGCCTGATATAATAGAACTTGTGATTCCATTCTGTAAGGACTGTAGGATTAAAACAATATGGTTTTAATCTGGACATTTCTGTGTGTTTGGTGTTGTATATTGGCTACACAGTTTACGATAAACATTTGGAATACAGTTCAAGAATGAAACTGTTTTGGGAGTAATAACCCTGAAAATTGCAAATTGCAAATAAATTGTATTATATCACTTTTAGAAAAAAACAATCCACTCAAGATCGTACAACTTTACAAACTGTGGGCACTAACACTTGTCTGATGGAAATAATCCTGTTACCTCTTTGCTAAATGGAAGTGCGTGTGTGTGTGTGTTTCAGGTAGCGGAGCGGGCTCTTTACTTCTGGAACAACGAGTACATCCTCAGTCTGATCGAGGAGAACTGTCAAGTCATCCTGCCGCTGGTGTTCGCCACGCTGTACAGAGTCTCCAAGGAGCACTGGAACCAGTCAGTCTCACACACACACACACACACACACACACACACACACACACACACACACACACACACACACATACACACACACACACACACACACACACACACACACACACACACATATGGACAAACACACACATATGCACAAATACACACTCGCACAACTCATAATTGATGTTGTTTTTATTTTAAATTAGGGGCAATTTGTGTATAAGATATCTCTTTGTATCCCTCCATAAATCAGAAACAACTGTCAAGCTATACAAAAATACAGGTTTCGGCTTTTCTTAAAGAACAAAAAGGTTCTTAAAATCAGTCTCTGAACGATATATAAACAAACCCTAATATAAGAACCATCAGAGTGCAGATTAATATAGGAAAAGTAAGAGCCACTGAAGAAGAGATTTCTGGCTTGGAACATAAGAAAAAAAGTATTTTGAGAAAACTGCTTTTAAAAGGATGTATTCTATAATTCACAAGTCTAATAGATATCACCATGAAACTTTCCCGGTTGATTGTTGACTCATTTTCAATTTCACATTTGCATTTTGGATGTCTTCTTTCTGAGAGAAAACATGTTATTGAAGCAAAATAGCCAAAAACCTCATAATTGACCGTGATAAAAAATGTTTTCCCGTAGTGTCTCACTGCGCCACTCCTATTATGTAAGAAGATCACTTAGCAACACTAACTTTCCAGCAGTGACACATATGTACAATCCTCCCATCATACGTATTAAGTACATGCTAAAAACGTTAGCATCAGAGCTGATAAACTACAAGGGACATATATGAGTGATGCCCAGGTCGTATTCCACGAAACACATGTTGGCCTCTCGGTAAATCTCACACTTGCAAACCTCTAACTCCTGACCCATAATGCAATGGGGCTGAGATTCATCATGATGTCTTCTTTTTTCAGGACCATCGTGTCTCTGATCTACAACGTGCTGAAGACCTTCATGGAGATGAACAGCAAGTTGTTTGATGACCTCACTGCCTCCTACAAAGTGGGAGAAACAGAAGTGAGTGTGTGTGTGTGTGTGTGTGTGTGTGTGTGTGTGTGTGTGTGTGTGTGTGTGTGTGTGCGCGTGCGCGTGTGTCACTGGATAGTACAGTGACAACGACAGGAAGATCAGAGGTCCTGAGTCATGTTTTAAATGGTATTTCTTCCATTATCCATCACATTATATTTCACAGCGTAAGTATTTATCACTTAGGTCATCTTTTCAACATGAATCACATCATGATTCCACTCATTCATCACTGGGTTTTAAAGGGAATATAATGGGTTCTATTGAAGTGTGTGAGTTCAGCGCGGAGTCGGTGTCATGGCCTGGTTAACTGCAGCATAGAGACGGGCACAAGATACCTTTAGCCTGGTTCTATTTAAAACATGTAAAATGAATACGCTTACTAACAGCTGTAAAGGTTATTTATTGAAATGTCTTTTGTAATCAAGCTGTGCAGATACCATTTGTATTCACTTTTCCTATATTTAACAGACTTCTACCTAAATTGCACTTTTTATAAGACCCTTATACATTAACCCATCAATTGCCAAAGCTGTTTCAATAGATTTTCTCAAGGCTGCATCTATTGTCTTCATTTAAAGGATGTTATTCAGCCAGCGCTTTTTATTTTGCTCCTGGGGAATTACTTAAGTATATTGAAACATGCTTCATTTAAATAACTTAACTTACTTTTTTAAGTTCCCATGTATTCATCAATTGCTTACAGTCTTTATTTCCTTGCAACTTTCTTGCAACTAAAATGAGATTATTATCTGACATGGTTGTTATTAGATTATATACTGTATGTCTGCCTTATTTGTGAAAACCAGATACAGAAAAGTTGGAGGACATTTTGATATTTTTTCCACATGTTTTTTAAGATTGAAATTAAGTGCACGTAGACTTTGCAGTAGGTGGTCTGTATAGTACAATTACAATAAAGGACATTTAAGAGGAAAGTGTGAAGGTTTCTCCAACACAGAGCAACACATCTTCAGGGGTTTCAGATATGCGGCTTCTCCACCTTTTCTTTCTCTTCATCCTTTTCCTTTCCTCTTCTCCTCCCCTGCCTCTCCAGAGAGATGAAGAGGGAGCGGGAGCGGGCCGATCTCTGGCGGGGTCTGGAGGAGCACCAGGACCGCCGGATGCAGATGCTCTCCGAGGCCGCCAGGAACCAGCGCAACCTCCAGGAGCGAGGCGAGAGAGGGGACCCGCCGAGCCCCTCGTCCCCGCAGACGGCTCACTCCGACCAGCCCGAGCCCAAGCCCAGCGGGGCCTCCTCTTCCTCTGGAGCCGGGGAGAGCGCCACCTAGGTGCTGCTCCACGGAGAATGGATAGCACGGGGTTAGGGGACAGGGAGACAACACAAGGTTGATGGTGAAAAGTGTTGGGAGAGAAAAGGTACAAAACAAATCCACAGCTCTTTTTATCTTGTATCATGGAGGGCGTGGCTTTTTGTGAAAAAGCGCACAAGCTCAGTGATCCGAGGTAAAGGCTGCACCTTTCTTTTCTGACAGAGTTGTGTGAAAGTGGTTCACTTTTTGCTGTGCACACATCATGTCGCAGATCAGAAGATGAATATTGCCCAAAAGTGCAGACTGTCATTTTAATCAGCGGCTGGTTCCTAACTGCAGGTCAGTATCCAAACATTGGTAGCTGGCCTGCTTAAAATCAGCCTCAAAATAAGAGATGAAATTTCTCTTTTGGTGCAACACTTACCAAGTTTAACGTGTCTAACTTGTCTTGATATTTAACCAACCGAGTCTGTACTGTGGCCGCGTATTTATCTTTTGCTCAGAGATGCTTATTTCATGCGTGGACAGCACAATACATCAATAAAACAAAGGAAGCAATTTCACACAAATGTCCCGAAACTGTTGCTGCACAGACCAGAAACTCACAGAAACACACACATAGTCGCAGGTACATATTTACTGTAAATATGAGTAGACAGAGCAGAGAGAAAATGTATCAAACAAAAAACATGCATTAAATTATTTCATCCAGTTTTTGTTCCACACACCCCCAAAACACACACACACACACACCCCCAAACACACACACACACACACACACACACACACACACACACACACACACACACACACACACACACACACACACACACAGCTGGTTCTGCCGGGTTGGTCGGGCCTAAAGTCTCTGATGAAGATGATGATGATATAAAGTACAATACTGTTCCTTCTTCTTACTTGTTACTCTACTACTACTACTCTACTCTACTCTAAGTACTACTGATGATGATGATGATGATGATAATGTTTTTATATATATACATATGTCTCTGGATATTTCTGTAGTGTATTATGGGAGAAACACTAGTGTAGCAGATACCATAGAGGGGAAGGCCGGCTGGAATTCTGGGTTCACACGTTAGCTGTACGCGGCCATCATGGTGAGTGCTGGAATTCAGCCGAGTTCCCCTTTAACAGACCTTAAAGAGTAGGGGGATGAACTGGACTGGTGGTGGCTGTTTTTCTTTTACTTTGAAAATCGGGATGTTTGTGGTGCGGCGGGCTTAATTTAAAAGGGGTATCTCGTAACAAATCCAAAAACATTCCATATTTAGAGATAATTTTGCATTAGGCTGCCGAGTGGAGCTTTCTTGTAAACAAAGTTGTTTTTAAATCTAGTGTTGCTCAACAAAACACATATACAAATTGTGATGACCTCCTCATAAAACACTTGATTTTTAGATATTTTAACTCTTTAATTGTTTACATCCATGTTTACCTGCTAGCATTTTTCTTCTTCCCTTATTTAGCAGCACACTGCTAAATTTCTTTGCACATTTTCGCACACAAACAATGGAATAGCATGAAACTGGTAGCATGATGGGAATCACATTGCCCCTTGTGCGCAATAGAAACATAACAGGCCCGCTTAATAAAAACAACAAAACTCCACAGGGGAATTTTTATTTTAAATTTGCAGCACACAATTGTCTTTTTTTGTTTACAATGTACTAATTTGCTTCCATACTTATCGCAAAGTTGAAGTTTTTAACCAACCAATTTCTAACCAAAAATGTATCCATGCAAAATAGCAAACCCGACCCCACACAGAGGTTACCGGGGTACAAATGAAGCGCACCACAAGTGTTTCAGACTAAAAAGAAAAACACACATCCAGTTTGATGTCGGAGCCGGAGCGTCTGTTCCTTTAGGCAGAGACCTGACGCTGCTAGGTGGCGACTTGGTGTGAACCGAGAAGAATCAGTTTATTCTTGTCTGATCATGATGAAAAAGTGACGTGGTGAATAGAAAGGGGAAAAAAACTGAAAAAAAAATATTTTAGCAATATTTTCATTCTTTCAGGATAATCTGTGTTTTTTAGGGGGTTAAACAGGAAGTGGGTGTCACTCTCAAATGTTTACCCCCCACTCTTGTTTTTACTCCTGTTGCGTCCTTGATATTCACATTGTCTTAAAGGTACTTTCTGTGTACATTTATTTAAAGAATCTTTGCTTTGTAATTACGTTGTTTTTTTCTCTTTGTTTTTGTATGATCTTGTTCATTTTTGTGGAATTCTGATACTGATGCTATTTATTTTCAATTTGATCAGGAAATGTAACCATTTTGAAGATGATGGTCAGGTTGTGTGTGTGTGTGAGTGAGTGTGTGTGTGTGTGTGTGTGTGTGTGTGTGTGTGTGTGTCCGGTGAGTGAATCAGTGAGCAGGAGACGAGCGTAGACAGAGCGATCGAGAACGAGAGAAAAACTGTTCTCTCTTTTTCTCTCTCTCTCCTTCTCTCCTTCCTGAGGGACAGGGTTTGAATCTGAATGTATCGTGAAACAAATCGATTGATTGTTTTTTTGACGCTTGAGACGCAGAGCTACCTGTCGGCTGCTTCGTAACCAAACATTCAAAAACCCTTCGAACCAGCAGTTTTTTTTTTTTAACTCACATCCAATCATGCCTGAGTCAACAAGGTTTTGAAATCCACTTGGCAAGTTTTATTGAGCTGTGCACGACTGATTTAGCATTTAAAGCAATTTTCCTGGTTTTTTCTGAACACTTTAAGTCTGAGTTTGGCCAACTGTGTTCCTTTCAGGCTGCAATCACCTATTCTTCCATTGCTTTGTTGAAAAAAAATATATATTATTGCTTTCAAATGTTAAAACTGCTGCTTTGGATATCATTTCAAGTCTAACACATTTGGCAGCCATATTTTCAAATGTGTGCATGAAAGTTAATTTGGTGAACTTGGATTCAGTAATTTGACACTAAATCATCAATTCATTATCATTAATTCACATGTACTATTTGTTCCCAACCATCTGGCTTGTGACCCATTCACACAAACAAAACTCCTCGGCCTGTTTGTGGACAGAGATCAACCAAAGAGTGTTTTTTTTGTTCATGTTTTTTTCAGAAGCCTTGAGAGGTCTCCCTTATTACAATTCATAAGTCTTGGGCAAAATACAAATCAAGTGTTTGTTCCAATTGAGTGCTCAACTTCAACATTTCAAATTAGCTTTAATTTAAGGAACATCCCAAAATTAAACGATTTATTGAAGGACCCAAAACTTAGGAACCGTTGACATAAGCCTATTTCTGTCCTGTCTCTGCACATGACTTGTTCCATGGCTTTCAGAACATGCATTAGGTGAAACAGCAGCCTGCACCTGCAAACATCACCAAGGCCCCCTTTTGTAGGATTTCAAACGTTGTTTTGATTCAGGCAAAAAACACAACTGAAAAGAGACAAAACTTGACCTCACTGTCATAAAACTCAGCTTACTTTATGATTTTAGTTTTGGCTAGCTTCCTCACAAACCCTCTTGATTGTTATTGTCAGTCGGTCAGCTGACACGGGGAAAACGGAACCCCACGCTCCCGCTCTTCTACAATCCTCACTCATATCAAACAACAGTCATATTCCTACTGTACTTCTAGAAACCTGCCGTAAATTCTAGAACCGCTCCAGAAATGGAAAGTATGAGAAGAGAGCTCGGGTATCGCCGCACAGACATCGGACGCTGGTTTCATTCTCTGTCACATATCCCCTCTGAGGCCAAATTGAAACAAAAGTTTTAAATCAAAGGGGAGGTGTGAACGGATTCAATTAAAGCAGCTGATATACTGTAGATTAAAAAAAAAAAACAGGAGGAGAAAGACAGAGGAGAGAAAAGACGTAGAGTTAGACACGATAGAATGGCAATAAGTCAGAGCAACAGTAACAGAATGAGAATATAATGTTACCGAAACCTACAACTGCATTACGTAGCAACTTCACTGAATTTCTAGATTTGCACTGTCTGCCCAATGGTCTGTGTTTGTTGTGTTGAAGAAAAACCTTAGAGAAGATGATTAAGACGATGCAGAAGAAGATGTATATTTTGGGGACCAACAAAGCGGTGGGGGGGTTGAATGTAGAGAGGCTTACTACTGTACGTAACATTACAGGGGGGTGTAGAATGGAGAAAAAAAACTGTGCTAAAAATGAAACTTCACTTTGAGAAAACACACTGGGAGTCTGCTGTTTTTTGTGTCACCTCTTTGTCTCTTAAATAACATTCATGAATTGCTATTGGATAATATGAATTCCACTTCCTTAAATGTATGCTTTGATCAACAGGTACAATGTGCAATAACTTTTGTTTGCCTCTTTTAGCATGTTTTTATAACCTAGCATCAAACAAGAGGTACAGTTAGCACTTAGCTACTGGAATAGCTTAATAGCCATATATTTCCCTCCGGAGTGGGTGGAGACCAAAACAGAGCTAAAAGGAGAGGTTGCTAATGTATATATAATAATCAACTGTTGACTAATGTACGAATCTTACCAACTTTATAAGCTGAATATCTGTAAAACTTTTGACAGTTTTCCAGGAGACCATTGATTTCCATTTTGAGTCAGAATCTATTAGTAGACTTTAAACTTAGTTGAGTTGTGTTATTTCAAATAACTTATTTGTGCCACAGTTAACATCAAATCTGCCAAATAGCTGTTGCATGAAGAGCTACCTAACATATGGAAGAGTGAATGGAAGTCAATGGCTGTCTAACTGCAGAAAAACATGCCCAAAAGTCTAAAGCAAGATGGTTTGCAAAGTCATCTGAAGTATATATTTTTTTTTTTTTATGGGGCTTACACATGCAAAATTGTATTGTATGCAACTTTGAGAAGATGTCCATGTGACAGAAGTGGAGACAATTAGTTCATATTATCTGGTTCAAACCCTTAACTTTGGAGTTGACAGGAGTTTTTAAAGTCCTAGCCTTTTGGTCTAATTAGTGTCAAAAGTTTGAAATCACCCGGTAAGAGTTTAAAAAGTCCCGTCCTATGTACCCATGTCACCAATCCTTTGTCACAGTAAGTGTCAGGTTGAGTTCTGAAAGTCCTCACATCACTGAGCGTAGCCCAAAGTTGGAACTGCTCACAGTCACACAGAGAGATACAGGCTGAGGTTAAGAAAACATAGACAAGCATCAGGATTTTCCAGGGAGTCTCCATTATTTCTGGCTTGGGGTCTCTAATGGTATTTCATTGTAATTGCTATGATGTCAGAGTGTCCGTCCGCCCTAATGGCCTTCTAAAAACAACAACAAGGACAGATTGGTTCCATTCACTGCTTGTTGTCCGGACAGAGACACCGCAGTCCAGCAGCTCCAATCTCTGCAAGATCTCCAGCTGAAAAGGTGAGAAGTGTTTTTTTCTTCATTCAATAAGTAATGTAGGGGTTCATTCATGTTTTAATAATTCATTCAAGATTCTCAAAAACTGCTGAAAGGACAGAAAGTGTACATAATGATGTTACCAGGCTATGTTACACAGTGCACTTTTCGTAGCCTATGTGGAGTCATTGTACTCACAGTGGGGTGTCTCATTGCCTATAAAAGTATCCACATCATGCAGAAAGTATTTTTATTTCAGTGTAATATTTCTTCATTCAAGTTGGGCAGTCTGGCTGAGTTGAGTTGATTCCAGTCGGTTTACAGCGCACTTTAAGTGGTTTGCTTGAAGAGTAATTAAGCAGATGTCTCCAGTATTAAAGAAATGATTGAAACAAGAAAATAAAACAACTTTTTATGTGTTAAGTAACTACACTCCCGATTTGTCATTTGTAGTATAATTAGAAATGTTTTACTCTATTTTTAGTTTGGATAAAAATGGGAATTACATTTTTAGTATAGGTCACTAGTACCATTGACTACAGTTAGCATAATAAACACTAGAGGGAGTTGAGCGTCATACTGAATGTCAAAACATTGCTCTGAAATTCAGATTTGTGGATCATCTTTCTTTATAGATGTAAAATATTGGCAGTAACACGTCCAGCAATTCATTATTTTTTCATTTAAGAGGCCAAACTGAATATTTTAGTCTGTTAATATGACAACATACATGTCATACCTTGAACTGGTGCATGACGTCACCTGTAGCTGGGCAAAAATATTGATATATAATAAAGTTACTTTGTTTTTTTTGTAATTGTTTCTTTCTCCATTCATCATCCCCAGCATGTATCTCCATCCACTGTCCGTCTTTTTCCTCGTCCTCGTTGTTGCCGTGGCATCAGAGGTGTGCGTTGCCGTGACGACACCTCTTCATGGCTTCCGAGGTTGCGCCGTGAGAGAGTTCTCGTTCATGGCCCAGAAGCCGGGCTGCAAGGGGCTGCGTATCACCACAGATGCCTGCTGGGGGCGCTGTCAAACCTGGGAGGTAACATTTACACACACACACACACACGCATACACGCACACACACGCACACACATAAAAAGTGAGAGAACAAAAGTCTTTTTCCGCTGCTATTGTTGAAATAGCATACTGGAATCTTAAGAAATCGAATGACTCAACCCAAACCATAAGAAGGCCCATGACTAATTCTCGTCTATGACCCATATGTCATTGTCGTAAGAAGTATTAAAATCCCTCCGAGCAGTTAAGGAGGGTACTGAACCTTTTATGAACTTGTTCTCTTTTGCAGGGATTCAAATGTAACCTCTGAGCTAATTTAAAAAACGATCTTAGGGGAACTCAGTCCGATTCAAAGTCATTAGAGGAGAAAGAGCTCTGAATCAGCAACAACAGAGCTGACTCAGTCACATGGCAAAGGTCAATATTAGAGTTTAAAATCATGATGTAAGTTGACTGACTTTTCCAGGACATTCAACAGCATTTCATTTTCCTCCTCAGCAGAGGGAGGCTCCTGATGACAAGAAATCTTAACTCCAGTCATTATGTATACACGCACAAAAGGATTCAAAGATTATACTGAAAAAGATAATATTCCTAAAAGCTGTTAACATGGCTATTGGAATGTAATATTCCATTAATATCCCTGTTTACATGCAGCTGTGCATACTCAAATTATCATAAATCCCATCCAAAGAAATTCACCCATATCTCAAAACCTGTTTATATCCAAGTCTTTTGTGATCTTTAAAGTAGGAGTGTTTGTCCAATGATGTGGTCTTTCCTTTGCACATGTATCTCTAGCCTCGCCTTTTTAATCTGTTGGTCGGATTTGGTTGACATCTCAGAAACATGTTGCATTTACTGACATTATTAGTGCATGGGAAAGTAATGTCTTGTAAAACAGTTGATGGAGAGCAAAGTAGCCACCTGTGTGTGTGAACCCTGTAGAAACCTATACTGGATCCTCCCTACATCCACCGTCACCACCGAGTGTGTACGTACAATCGGACCCGCCAGATGACGGCCCGCCTGCCGGGGTGCCAGCCCAACGTCTCCCCACTCTACCATTACCCCATGGCTCTGCACTGCCACTGCGCCATCTGCTCCATGCAGGACGCAGAGTGTGAGACCTTCTGAGGGGCAGGATGCTGCGTCAGCTAACCATGTTATCATCAGTTTTACTCAAATGAATGAACCTGAATAAAATCATGAAAATAAGACATTGTAAAAAGTGTGATTCTTGACACCTAAAAGTGTGTCTTTCTGTATACGATGTGTGTTTACGATTATATGTCTGTATTTAAGAAAGATGAAAATACCAGAGAAAGCATTATATCTCAAAATATCAGTTTTTTTTATTTTGATAGCAAAATTGGAGGTTAAAAATAATGTATTAACGGGGATGGAGAAGGGCGGGAATATTTGGGGGAAACTACATTTTCTGTTACATGTATGGAAATCTTCGAGTCTATTCGAAATAATGTTGATCCCCTAATCCCCTAAATACACTATGATGTTAAATAAAAGTAAAAAAATAAGTTTTAAGGCAATATCTTTCAATATCTTCATTATTTAAATTGATATTGTTTAATCAAAACCAGGGAACTAATTTATGTCAATCAATCAATCAATCAATGTTTATTTATATAGCCCAATATCACAAATGTTACATTTGTCTCAGTGGACTTTACAGTTTGTACAAAATATCAGTATGACAATACGACACCCTCTGTCCTTAGACCCTCACATCGTACAAGGAAAAACTTCCGAAGAAAACCCACAGTTTAAAGGGAACATGGGAGAAACCTCAGGGAGAGCAACAGAGGAGGGATCCCTCTCCCAGGACGGACAGACGTGCAATAGATGCCGTGTGTAAATTGAAAAGATAATACATTTGCAACATAGGTAGTCCAAATGTTTGGAAATGCATGTGTGTATAATAGGAAGATGAATCCACGAGGATATCCATCCAGGACCTATGATCTAGGACCACAGCCACGACTCAAGATCCAGGGCTCGCGATCCAGGACAGAGGAGCGCAGGATCATCCATGACTCCGGATCCCGGCGTATACAGACACCAAAAAGAAAGACATTTGGGGAAGCTGGGTTAATCGGAACATGAGAGTACACAGGTATAGACAGAGAGAAGGAAGAAGTAAGATGTCCCCCGACAAACTAAGCCTATATCAGCAAAACTAGGGGCTGAATCTAATCAGCCCTAACTATAAGCTTTATCAAAAAGGAAGGTCTTAAGCGCACTCTTAAAAACAGATAGGGTGTCTGCCGCCCGAACACAAACTGGAAGCTGATTCCACAAATGTGGAGCTTGATAAGAAAAGGCTCTGGCTCCCATTGTACTTTTAGAGACTCTAGGAACAACCAACAACCCTGCATTCTTGGAACGCAATGCCCTAGTAGGACAGTAGGGTATAATGAGTTCTTTAAGGTAAGATGGTGCCTGCCCATTAAGGGCTTTGTAGGCGAGAAGAAGAATTTTAAATTCTATCCTGTGTTCTATAGGGAGTCAGTGTAAGGCAGCCAGAACAGGAGTAATGTGGTCCCTTTTCCTAACTCTGGTTAGTACACGAGCTGCAGCATTTTGAATCAGCTGAAGCGACTTGACTGACTTCTTGGTACACCCTGATAATAAAGAGTTACAATAATCCAGCCTTGATGTAACAAATACATGGACTAGTTTCTCTGCATCGTTTTGAGGCAAGATATGCCTGATTTTTGCAATGTTACGTAGATGGAAGTAGGCGGTCCTTGAAATTGATTTTATGTGGGCGTTAAAGGATAAATCCTGATCAAATATAACACCAAGATTCCTTACAGTCTCACTGGAGGCCAAATTAATGCCATCCATAGTTAGTATATCTTTAGATAATTTGTTTCGTAGATTCTTCGGGCCAAGTACAATAACTTCAGTTTTGGTCGTGTTTAACATCAAAAAGTCTTTATGTCTCATTAGATGATGTAAACAAGTGCATATGTGTGTGTAAAGTGAGAATGAAAATCAAATGTCCACAATAATTACTTAACAGTTGCACCTTAGAAATGGATTGAAATACTTTTTCAATTTTTTCAATGATTTAATTTGATATTGTACTCACATATTTCTATGTTAATGTGTGTACTTAAAACTGAAACAGACACAAATACATTGTACACACAAACTGGGATAGGGGTCAAATGGGGACCACTGTCATTGTGGGGACTCTCCTCCATTGTGGGGACAAAATCCAAGTCTCCACAAAGCAACCTTTAATGTGAGGCCCAAGACTTGGCTTAAGGACAGGGTCAAGGTTGGGGACCATGAAGTTGCCATGATTAAGGTAAGGGTTAGTCACCAGGGAATGAATGCAAGTCAATGTGATGTCTCATTCATTTATGGAAAAATGTGTGAAAGTTAGAAGAAAAATCTAATGTCCACAATAATGACTTTACTGTTGCAGAATAGACATTTATTGAAATACAATTTCATTGCAAACTATACAGTGCATTATTTTCATTAAATTGACATTTCCAACATTCTTTAGTTTCATTAATACATATTATTTACAAAATGTCCTTTAGTTTCAAATTCATAAATATAAATAAATGTGTACATTCTTTGGTCTCTTTGGTCTGTGTTTAGTGGTTATGCAATGGGTGAAACTATTTGTTTGTATAACCTTTATGCAGATGGATTGACTGTCTTAACTGTAATGTAAAGCTGTTGGTTTATATCGCCTTTAAAGCACAAATGTGCATAAATCAAGTTTTCTTGAAAAACCTCCCTTCCATCACATTGTACACATCACACAAAAACACGCAAACACACACTCACATAAATCTTTTAGACTTTTCAAAATGTGAATTCCTCATTTAAATCTTAATGTTCTTGGGGAATAATCGTGAGCAGGGGTTACTCTGCCTATACTTAAATGTAGTCAAACATTTTTGATGACATGGGAGATCTGCATAGACCCTTCATCTTTTGGCTATGTTCCATCCACCTTCTTTTTATTCTTTGAGAACACGAATGAAGGAAATTAATACTGAGAGTAATTTAGTTGATTATTTTTCACTTAAATAGTTTAAAGGGCATTTTCTTCAACATTCAAAAATATTTAGAGTAGAGATAGGAAAATGATGGTTTATCCCTGAAACACCTGTATTTCAATCATTTTTAAGTTTGTACGGCTTAACTGACTAAATTAGTTTTTGGTCCTGTGGTACATTGCAGCATATTGTCTTGATGTCTCAGTAGCTGGACTTGCGACACATGTCGCATCGACACGCCTTTGCGGTCAGGATCTCTATTTCTTCATGGTGACGACCTCGAGGGCAGTCCAGACGAACTTTGACCTGAGGTGGGAAAAGCCAGACATGAAACATTTGCCAAAATGTAGAGTTACTGACATTGCCTTTGTTTTGTTTTGGAACGTAGTTTTTTACCTTAGCGTCCTTGCTGATGGTGCAGCATCGTGAGGCGGAGGTGATGTTGTGGGTGAAGTTGGAGGCCACCAGCACTGAGTATCTGGAGGGGAAGGCGCTGGACTCACAGTAGCCCACACAGGCGTAGACCAGGTGGGTGCCTTTACACGTGCCGCGGCGGTCACTGCGGATGGTCACGTTGAAGGCTGCGAGAGGAGAAAGGGTGGAGGGAATCAAGCACTGTGTACGTGTGTGGGACTGTAAGTAATATAACAACACTGTTATATTTATTGCAATAAGCTGGTATAAGCCGCAGAGTTGGAGTTACAAAAAAACTCAAGGAAAATGTACAAATGAATGTATGCGGTTTTGGCTTGAAGTGCAGTGGGTTACTTACGATGTAGGTGACACCCTGGGGTGAGGCCATCGTAGCTCCAACCAATGGGAGAGAAGAACAGCAGCAGTGACATCACTGGAAGGACCAGCATGCAGAAATGTGAAGTTGTGCACAGCGACATCTGGACGGCAGCCTGGAGGACCCAAACAAAAAAGCAAAGTATGTACGGTAAGACCTTATTTATAGAAAATCTGACATTTAATGGTCTTTAAGAAGTTTTTAAGCAAAACAAAATAATTGTTTCCAATCTCAGCAAGAGTTGATCCTCTTTAGACTTTTACTACAAACAAACTGAACAAGAACACCAGTTAAATGAAATGAAACTGTAGCATGGGAAAAGGTAGGACTTAGGAGCGAATCTGAATCATGCTGTGGACACACAAATCATTTTTCACTTTAGTTAAAATTGTGAGTTTAGTTAATCCTGTTTAATGAGTTGAATAAACTAAAGGAGCGGCAGCTTTCTCAAACTCTGAGTTCCCTCAACCTGAGGTGATCTTCTCCTGCTGAACTTTCCCCTCAAATAAAAGCCCAGAGCCCCCTCCCTTATCTACCAGGGTGATTTCCCACCTGCTCGTCTGCCTGCCGGTGTGTCACAGCTAATGTGAATAAAAACAATACAGTCTTCATCTTTTGTGTCAGCCTCACTTCACAGCTACCTGCTGACACACGTATACGTACACAGCTCACACCGACTCGTGCAAACGTACACATAGCTGCACACACGGCAGCGGTAGCACAATCACGATACAAAGCTTTCTATAAAAATAGGGTAAGGCATCAGTCTTTTCCCTGTTAACCCACATAAACATGAATGGGAACATGTATGTGTGCATATATGCTCACACACACACACACACACACACACACACACACACACACACACACACACACACACACACACACACACACACACACACACACACACACACACACACACACACACACACACACACACACACACACACACACACACACACACACACACACACACACACTCACTCCAACACGTGTGTAAACAATAAAGTCATGTTTTCCTGAGAATTTGGTGATCCTGACCCTTGCCCTCTAAAATGGCAGCTCTTTCCAGCCCCACTTCCCACCGACGGGAGGAATTGCCTCCGTGGTGATGGTGGAAGGACCCCTGGGGACGCCATTAACGCCGGTGGTACGGGCAAATTAACGGGTCAGGACTGTGTGTGTGGGCTCATTAACCCCGTGTCAGCTGGAGAGGCAGGGGAAATGCTCCGCTTTTTCCTCTTATGTGGGGTTTCCACGCCTGAAGGGTAGGTTTGTCTTTGAGGAAAGTGGGTTGTAATATAGACCAAGATCACCAAAACAGCCCAAATAATTAATACTCTTAGATCCTTAAAGATATTGTAAACACACTACCAAAAACATTGTCAAAATCGTGTTCTCAGTGCTGCCTTTAAAGATCATTTTAAAGGTGTGAATAGAAGGAATGAATGACACAAAGTAGACAGAAAAACTCTTCCTTAAGCTTTCCTAAAACGCCCTTCAGAACTGTAAAGGCAGCAAAATGCTACAAGGACCTAGATTGAATATTACAGATATTAGGAAAGTTAAAGGAGAAATATGGCTTTTTAATTCTCTTCAATGTACATTACAGTATTTGAACACCTCAGTTCATAAGGTGCAGACCCAAAAGCTGCAGGTGACATTTTTATTTTGAATACTATAAATAGCTGATATATACTGTAGATGAAGTTACATGAGTGGAGTCAAGTACCTGAAACCCCTTCTATATAAACTGGACACTGAATAATGCCAATAGGATGTAGTTCAATACAGTTTTATTTCTTTAAGTAAGAACAATCTGCATGCATGTTCTCTGCTAAGTTAAAATGGTCACGAAGAATACTGTCTAGTAATAGCACAGACTAAAAGGAGACACACAGTATAATCCATTGTCTTTACAAAATATCTTTATAGTCTAGCATCTAGATAAAAACAATACTGGGTTTTACAAAAACACCTATTGTCATGACAGTAGAAGACAGCTGAGTAGTCAGTAGTTTCGTAATAAAACCCTCTAAACACAACAAAACTTATGCTAATTTTAAAAATAATTAAATAAGCTTTACTTGGGCAATATAAAAATGTGCATGAATGCAGTAGAACTGTTATTATTATTAACTTACAGGGAAGAGTTCTGCAGAATAAGAATGGACCCCCCTTCCATGTTCAATTCAAATAACAAAAAAAGATTACAAACTATAAGAAAGCAACTATGTCAAGACAGAAACAGATGATTTAAAGGTCTATTCCACCAACATGATGCATTCAATTTCATTCCAGGTGTAAAAAGCAGCTCAGTGTTTCTTACCTGGAGATGTGGAGCAGAGTTTAGCTTCTGGAGTGCAGGTGAGTCGACTGACAGGTGTGTGTGTCTGCTCGCCTCATGCAGGGATATAAGTACCACAGGTAAGAGTGAAGGCACTTATAGCTCTGGACACACCCACAATTAGAGCTGACAGTGTGTTAATGTTTTCCCTTCTTTTCTGCAAGTCCCTCTCTCTCAACCTGCACGAAAAAAGTGAGATGATTACAAAAAATGATTAAAATTGCCTTCTTTTCTTTAACGTCTTCCTCTTGGTGTGTGTAAGCGTTTTTCTCTCTGTCCCTGCACCCTCCCCCTCTGATTTCAACCTTTAGGGGGACCGCGGCTGTGACACAGAGGAAAACTAGATAGGTTTTCCATCAACGCACCACCACAATAGTGAGAACACACACAGCTTTACCACACACACACATGCACAGGCTACGCACAGGCTACGCACAGGCTATGCAAAATCACACAAACAATTATCTTCTCGGCCTGATTGATGCTAATAAATAAAGTGGGTGGGAGACCTCACACACACACACACACTGCCTGGGTTTTCCATTTGTGGCTGCAGGAGGAAGGGCAGAGTCGGGTCACAAGATATTGTTGCTTTGGGTCAACTCTGTGTGGCACATGATGGGTCAAATGTGGAGGAGGGAGCCAGCTTAGCAACCGCGCTGTCCAAACTACAGCGGGTTATTCCTTTATTAAACTTAGATTATTTGTTGGGCAGTTTCTGGACACTTCGGTGACATGTCACAAAGGTCACTAACGTTCCAATCGGACCACATATGACATTAAAATGTCCCAAAATGAGTGTCTTTTGTGCCCTTGTGGTTAAAGTGGCTTTCAGGGTGAGGAAACAGATGTAATACTTACTGGAAGAGCAAAGGATCTGAATCTCCCAAGGTTACGTCTTTGGTTTTTCAATGAGTTTTTCCACGTCTCCCTGGAGAATTTGGGCTGGGTTGGGAATTGTTGCCAGTGTGGGTCTATAACGCCCACGGAGATACGACACCCACTGATATTGGGCCATAAATATAATAATATATTTGACAGATTTTGATTTACTGCGAGGAGAATTGATTTAAGAAGTCAAAGACCAAAATCACAGTCACTGCCGCGTCACATTTTCTTTCAGCGTAATCCTTTGGTTGGTTCCCAGATGCAGTTTATTATATTGCAGTAATAATAGTTGTTTTATTGTATGTTTTTAGTTTTAGCAAGAGCTCCACATCTGTCTTGTATTGTGAATCAGACTCGGGACAGCTGGAGGCGATTCTTCCAGAAATACAAACTGTAGACGTTTGTTATGACCTTTAAACAACTCTCCAAACAGTTCCAAGAGAAACGGACCGTTAATATGTCATTCATCCAGGAAACAAAAGGATCTGATTGATTCTTTTTGAGTGTTTTACTCATGGCAAAGAACATGATCTACATTTAAGTCCTAACACATGAACAGTCTCAAAAGAAACACACTTGTTGTACATTCCAATAATGAGAATAATCACACCACACTAGAACCAAGGGAAATCTTAATTTGAGTATATCTGCTTTAAATGAATGTTGGTTTAATGTGCTGGCAGAATTTTTCACAAAACACAACCAAAATTCAATCCAACTTAAAGACATTTACCTACAAAGACGTATTATCAACAAAATTAAAACACAAACATGAATTTCTTCCATTAAATGAACCATAAAAACACACACACTCATATTTATATTCAATCTAAAATACACACTGCTGCTGTATAAACTCACTCGACTATCAAATGTGTATTAATGTTCAGCTGAAAAACTAATCCAAATTGTACTGGCGTTTGTTTCCTAAAACACTACAATCACTAGCTGTAATAGATAATTAGCCTTCTTTTTTTCTTTTAAATGAAGCCATATCTTTTTTCTTTGTAAATATATATGTTTAGATATATGATATTAGTAGAACATAATTGCTGTAGGCCAACTGCCACAGATAGTATAGGGATATAGACTAACATATTTTTTTATTTGACACTAGAATAATACAGAATAACTCCAGCCCTATTCTTAAAACCTTCCTTTTACAATACATTACAAAATAAAGTTTGTCAGCTTCTTGTTTTTAATTTAGTCATAGTCTTGTGTGAAATATCCTTATTAGTTTTTTTATCATATTCAATTATTCTCACCCTGTTTTTGGTAAAGATGTTATGTCCAAACTGCATTTTAGTCTTCTTGCGTCATCAATAACACATGTTTATGTCACCAGTTCGTGTCCAATGATGTTTATGTGCCGTCTCACCATCGTTTTGTCTCATTTTTAGTTAACCAAATGAACAACATGGACACAAATGTTACTAAATACCATTTTGTCCGTTAATGATTTAGTGTAGATGGTGATGCTTTGGCTCCCAGCGCTTCACACTGACTCACATCCTCACACATACACACTTTTCTAAGGAAAACACAATTATCATCTTATGGCCCCTCCATCCCAAATCATTCCCAAACACCGTTATGTCAATGGAAAACGGAATGTGTGACATCATCACCTAAACCCCCCACCTACACACACGTATGTACACACACTCAACTATTAGTGTGTTGACTGTGAGCTGCAGTGTGTTTCTTCTGATTCCATGCCAACCAGAGAGAGAGAGAGAGAGAGAGAGAGAGGGAGAGAGAGAGAGACTCTAAATCTGAGTGGCCCACAGCACCTCATCAGGAGAGAATTAGATGTGAATGGACTTTGTTAAACTGGAGTCTCTTGTCGCTGAGATGCGCACACACACACACACACACACATTTCTCCAGTGTGAGTCAGCGGGGTGACTGATGTTTGTATCGCTGAGTGGCCCCGTCGCTCTCGGCTGCCGTGGAAACCGTGGCGTCTTGAATAACTATAATATCATTAATGTGTCCGCTTCCACTTCTGCCCAGTTATTCTAATCTCAGCGTGTGTGTGTGAAAGTATATGATGCATGTGTGTGTCTGTGCTGCAGTGTATGATGTGTGAGTGTGTGTTATTTTATATGTATCATTATGTCTGACAGGATATTGTGTGTGGTCAAAGTGTGTAAGTAGACGTTAGTGTAAGATTATGTGTGTGTTATTTTGGGCTCTATGACAATGTCAGGAGAGGATTAGGCAAAGTTTTCCTGTTTCTGAGATGATGTTCGAGTCCAGTTGACCCATTTACCCACACACACACACGCACGCACACACGCACGCACACACTCGTGAATAATAGGAAATGATTGCCAGATTGTATAAGATGAGACAAGGGCTCACACACACACACACACACACACACACACACACACACACACACACACACACACACACACACACACACACACACACACACACACACACACACACACACACACACACACACACACACACACACACACACACACACACACACACGAGAGTGGAAATAAGCGGGAATGTGGAATGTGCTAACGTGAATTAAACACCCAACGCACTCCTATGAAAGATAAGTTAGATGAATTAAACTGGTACATTATTCATAACAAACTCTTGCTTAACATAAAACATCATTAAAGCAGTGTGTAGGTGTTACGTGCCGCAGTTGGTGCTTTTGTGTGGGTGTCTTTCTCTCTCCCTCTGATTTCCCCAGGTGCAGCCTCTCCCCAGGTGCAGCCTCTCCCCAGGTGCAGCCTCTCCCCAGGTGCTCCCAATCTCCAATCAGGGCCTCCATATAGGACAGGAGGAAGGTTGCAGTCGCTCTCCCCTTCTCCCCTGGCTGGATGTGTGCAGCGTGGTGTCCATGTCTCCAGTATATATTTTTTTATCTAGATTTGTTTTGCAAGTTGGCTGGTGAGCCCTTTTTCTTTGCGTTAATGAAAAGACCTGCTTATGGCTTCAGAGATCAGTTTCCTCTCGGCCGGTTATTGTTTGGTGTTGTTACTTCCCTTCGTAGCCCTAGCTTTGGAGGGAACGTAACAGTAGGCAAAGAAAAAAGAGATCAGATGCAAATGAGGCCGCAGATCATGAAGGCAATTTAAATCTAACAGAACTTAAGAAATAAAAGACATGCTGCTCTTTTGTTAGATTTGGAGGGGGGTCGGAGTTCATGAAAGTTAATCGATAAGAAGCTGCAACAGAAAACTCTCATAAAGAACTAGTTTTATTAAAATATACTTAAGATATATAAATAAATTAGAAAATCTTACATAAGTCTGAACAATAGGAATGATTAATAATGACCCTTATATAACAGATTATTCAAAGAGGATACAGGGAGACAAACAGGCCGATTAAAATGTTCCTGAAAAAACAAATCCTGAGTTCTCTGTGCAGAACTTGAACTAAACAAACCCCGGCGAGTTTCCGCTTCATTCCCCATCAGCTCCTGTCTCCGTGCCGTGGCCCTCAGGGGTCTCCAAAGAGCAGGGAGAAGGGGAAGACATGGCTACAGAGAGGGAGACAGATAACGTTAACGCACTGTGATTAATGGCTACTGCATATCATTATTAGCAGGAAAAGACTCCATGTGTTTGGCATGCTGTGTCAGAGCGGAGCTGCTTCTCTGAGCGCCTCAGGTCATCTCCGCCTGTCTCAACACAACCAGGAATATTGTCATCTCTGTGCTTATAATAGCTGGATTTCCCCGATCCATTTGAATCTGTCAACCTTCTTCTTTTAGATGTGCAGCAACAATTAGCTCTTGTTTCTCCTGTGAAGTCAATCATATCTACAAACAGCGACATCACCTCCTCTCTGAAGAAGGTCTGAGTCTTGCGCTTACTGTTTGCCAATTCTCTGATATGATGTTGTTCTTAGCGTGCTAACAAATCCCTGTTTGTTAGTATGGCTGCTCAGGGGCTTCATACAGACCTGGCTAGTCGACTCAGAAAGCCTGGCCTCTCAGGGGTCCCAGGGTCAGACTCTTCATCTACTTCTTCCTCATCGTCTTCCATGGGCTCTATTGTCCCAGAATGCACTTCACCTGGAGTCCCACTTCCTTTCACTGTGACACCTGGTTTCTGCTGTGGTGCGTCCTTTCTCTAGGGAGAGAATAAAAGGACAGAATATCAAATGTATTTTACAGTTATAGTAGTCAAATGTATTTTATTTCACCTTTTGCTCACACCTCCCACCAAAAAGGACTTGTCCCAGATTAGCTTTGCAAATGTATCTAATGCAGATCTAGAGTTATCTATAAGTTTAAGCAGTATACCTGCGTCTGTGGTACGAGCAATAATCCAGAAATAGAGTTTGGATTCTTGTCTTTTACAAAATAATGTTTATCTGCCATTTCAGAATTTCAAGAATGCAGTTTCTGGCCAAAAATATAAAAAACTCAGCTAGAGACAGAGGTTAAAATCAGGCTTTAGCATACAAACAGTACATCTGAGTGGTGGGGCTCAGTTAACGGTCAATTGGACTTCTTTATGAGCTTAAGAATGTACTTTTGATAACCAGAATATTGTCTCTTGGTCTTTTGACACTTCTCATGAGTGGGTTTGTGCCATGAACTTAATGACCGCCTTCATTGTTCAAGCGTAATCCTTTTTTAAAGCTCAACACGATTAGTTTAAATCCTTTTTTCCACTTGGAACAAATGTGAGGGGAAAAAGAGTGGACAGGGGTAAAAGAAACCAGGATGAGATGAGATGAGGAGGGAGCACAATTACCCAGAAACACACACTCTGGGCCCTGATGTAATGCTTTTATTCACCTTGATCACACTTGTTATGCTACCTGTCTGCACAAATGTTAGCTTGGGGCTACAATACAGACAGAGATGCTCCAAGAGTGTGTTTATACAGTAGATGTGGTAGAGAGGAAACGAAAGGCTAAAATTAGAAGGAAATGTGTTATTCAATTTATTTAGAACAACTGTGGGATGAAATGACTTCATTTGACATTTAGGAAAGTGTCGAATCAGTGAAGCAGTTAGATTTGATGTGGACCTTTTTGTAGATGTAATTAAAAAATCACCTCATCAAAGCATCCTGCATCTTCTTTTGCATCTCTGAGTGTATGTGGACGATCCAGAGGGAGCATGCTGAGAGTTGGACATCAAAAAACTATAAGTTAAAATACATGAGGAACTAAGCTTTCTACTTTTAAATAAAGAATAAACTAGATACTGTACAGTCAAATTCAGGTGGCATTTCATATAAAACATCATTTAAATATGATTTACACAATTTATGTTATAGAAGAATACAGATATTTTATAGGAATAGGAGCTTTGAACAATAATAATGCCCATGCCTATCTTTTAAACAAAAGCCTATTGTAGGCTAAAGCAGGTTTGTAACAGATTTGTGGGAGGGGGGGTTATATTCTGAGAAGAAACTTGATAGTATTAAAGTCATAACTTCATGGAAAAAAGAGAGGATATTCTCTCAGATGTAAGTGATAACGATACATTTAAAAAGTCACAGATATACCAGAAAGACACTTAAATATTATCCCGTAAATTCCAGAGAAATCAAAGAAAAAACAATAAATACATTTACAAGAAATAAATCTGGAAAATAATCTGTTTTTTTGTCAATGAACAACGGGGCTCCACTTTGCAAGGTTTAAAAAAGCTCATCTTCAGTAAGTAGTGAATTGGTGGGTCTCGTGCCTCGTAGTGCACGGCCTCCAAACACCTTCAGTTAGATGATGTTGGATCAAATGGCGGATTACGCAGCCAACACCAACACTTCTCTGTTTGATGGCCCTTGTTGACAAGTCTGACTGCTCACTGAGTCATTTTCAAACTCATTCTTCTCTGTTCCCTTTTTCCAGCAGGTTTAACAGGAAAACAAACCATCCGTCTCTCCAGGGCATCACTGTGAGAATACAAGTGTGTGTTGTATTTGTGTAGCACCTTTGTAAGGACATGTAAGTGTAATGGTCTGCGTGGTGAATATAATGCAATGAGAGTTTGATTTCCTGTGAGCTGGTAATGATGCCTGAGGCTCTGCTGCTTGCAGGATGTTTACACAGTTTGTGCATCTGAGTGTGTGTTCTTCAAGAAGAGACAATTCTGTTTATATAAGTCTAACACAAACTAGTTATTGTGTGTGTGTGCTTCTAAAATCATCATTTGCGCCCCACTGATCTAACTGTCAGTGTGATTGAGGTGGCGCCCGTTCGCCTCTTGTCTGTAACTGCACGAATCACTGGAGCGTGTGTGTGTGTTTCTGTGTTAGTGTGTGTTTCTGTGGTGTTGTGGTGTGGTGTTTCGGTGTTGTTAGTGTGTGTGTTTCTGTGTTAGTGTTGTGTTTCTGGGCTGTGTGTGTGTGTGTGTGTTTCTGTGTGTGTGTGTTTCTGTGTGTTGATGTGTGTGTTTCTGTGTTTCTGTGTGTGTGTGTTTCTGTGTGTCTGTGTGTGTGTGTTTCTGTGTTAGTGTGCGTGTGTTTCTGTGTTAGTGTGTGTTTCTGTGTGTGTGTGTGTGTGTGTGTTTCTGTGTTTCTGTGTTAGTGTGTGTTTCTGCTTGTTTGTGGTGTGTTTCTGTAGTTAGTGTGCGTGTGTTTCATGTGTTAGTGTTGTGTTTTTGTTTCTGTGGTAGTGTGTGGTTTCTGTGCTTAGTGTGCGTGTGTTTCTGTCGTGGATAGTGTGTGTTCTGTGTTAGTGTGTGTGTGTTTTTGTGTTAGCTAGTGTGTGTTGTTGTGTGTTTATGTGTTAAGTGATGAGTTTGATGTGAGGTGTGTGTTTATGTGTTAGTGTGTGTGTTTGTTAGTGTGTGTGTGTTTATGTGTAGTGTGTGTTTCTGTGTTAGTGTGTGTGTGTTTCTGTGTTAGTTGTGTGTGTCGGTGTTAGTGTGGTGTGTGTATGTGTTAGTGGAGTGTGTCTGTGTTAGTGTGGGGTTTGTGTTAGTGTGTGTGTTGTTCCTCGTGTTAGTGTGTGTGTGTTTCTGTGTTAGTGTGTGTGTGTTCGTGTGTTAGTGTGTGTGTGTTGTGTGTGTTAGTGTGTGTTTTTGTGTTAGTGTGTGTGTGTTTCTGTGTTAGTGTGTTTCTGTGTTAGTGTGTGTGTGTTTCTGTGTTAGTGTGTGTGTGTGTTTCTGTGTTAGTGTGTGTTTCTGTGTTAGTGTGTGTGTGTTTTGTGTTAGTGTGTGTGTGTTTCTGTGTTAGTGTAAGTGTGTTAGTGTGTGTGTTTCTGTGTTAGTGTGTGTTTCTGTGTGTGTGTGTGTGTTTCTGTGTTAGTGTGTGTGTTCTGTGTTAGTGGTGCTGTGTGCTTATCTGTGTTAGTGTGCGTGTGTTCTGTGTTAGTGTGTGTCGGTTTCTGTGGTTTAGTGTGGTGTGTTTCTGTGTTAGTGGTTGTGTTCTGTGTTAGTGTGATGTAGTGTTTAGTGTGTTTAGTGTGTGTGTGTGTTTCTGTGTGTGTGTAGTGTGGTTGATTTCTGTGTTAGTGTGGTGTGTTTCTGTGTTAGTGTGGGTTGTTTTCTGTGTTAGTGTGGTCTGTGTGTGTGTTCTGTGTTAGTGTGTGTGTGTTTCTGTGTTAGTGTGTGTGTGTGTGTGTTTCTGTGTTAGGAGTGGTGTGTTTCCTCGGTGTTAGTGTGATGTGGTTCTCTGTGTTAGTGGTGAGTGTTCGTCTATGTTTAGTCGTGTGTTTTTCTGTGTTAGGTGGTTTGTGTTTCTGTGTTAGTGTGGTGTTTTTCTGTGTAGGTGTGTGTGTTTCTGTGTGTTAGTGTTGTGTGTTTCTAGTGTTAGTGGTGTGTGTGGTGTTTCTGTGTTAGTGTGTTGTTGTGTTTCTCTGTGTTAGTGTGTGTGTGTGTTCTGTGTGTGTGTGTGTGTGTGTGTGTGTGTTTCTGTGGTAGTGTGTGTGTGTGTGTTTCTGTGTAGTGTGTGTGTTTCTGTGTTAGTGTGTGTGTGTGTTTCTGTGTTAGTGTGTGTGTTTCTGTGTTAGTGTGTGTGTTTCTGTGTTAGTGTGTGTTTCTGTGTTAGTGTGTGTGTTTCTGTGTTAGTGTGTGTGTTTCTGTGTTAGTGTGTGTGTTATGTGTTAGTGTGTGTTTCTGTGTGTGTGTGTGTGTGTGTTCTGTGTTAGTGTGTGTGTTTCTGGTTAGTGTGCGTGTGTTTTGGTGTAGTGTGTGTTCTGTGTTAGTTGTGTGTTTCTGTGTTAGTGTGTGTTTGTGTTAGTGTGTGTTTTCTGGTAGTGTGTGTGTGTTTCTGTGTTAGTGTGTGTTTCTGTGTTAGTGTGCGTGTGTTTCTGTGTTAGTGTGTGTTTCTGTGTGTGTGTGTGTGTTTCTGTGTTAGTGTGCGTGTGTTTCTGTGTTAGTGTGTGTGTTTTTGTGTTAGTGTGTGTGTTTCTGTGTTAGTGTGTGTTTCTGTGTTAGTGTGCGTGTGTTTCTGTGTTAGTGTGTGTGTTTTCTGTGTGTGTGTGTGTGTTTCTGTGTTAGTGTGTGTGTTTTTTGTGTTAGTGTGTGTGTGTTTTGTTAGTGTGTGTGTTTGTGTTAGTGTGTGTGTGTTTTCTGTTAGTGTGTGTGTGTTTCTGTGTTAGTGTGTGTGTGTGTTTCTGTGTTAGTGTGTGTGTGTGTTTCTGTGTTAGTGTGTGTGTGTGTTTCTGTTAGTGTGTGTGTGTTTCTGTGTTAGTGTGTGTGTGTTTTGTGTTAGTGTGTGTGTGTGTTTCTGTGTTAGTGTGTGTGTGTTTCTGTGTTAGTGTGTGTGTGTTTCTGTGTTAGTGTGTGTGTGTTTCTGTGTTAGTGTGTGTGTTTCTGTGTTAGTGTGTGTGTTTCTGTGTTAGTGTGTGTGTGTGTTTCTGTGTTAGTGTGTGTGTGTGTTTCTGTGTTAGTGTGTGTGTTTCTGTGTTAGTGTGCGTGTGTGTTTCTGTGTTAGTGTGTGTGTGTGTTTCTGTGTTAGTGTGTGTGTGTGTTTCTGTGTTAGTGTGTGTGTGTGTTTCTGTGTTAGTGTGTGTGTGTGTGTGTGTGTGTGTTTCTGTGTTAGTGTGTGTGTGTGTGAAGCAGGGCAGAATAGATAAAAACTCTTCTTTCTATCGCCACATTGCGAAATGTAAGTGTATATTCGGGTGCGTACGACTACTGTTAGTATTAGATTTTGGTCAAATATAGACAATACATATTCAGAAACAAATCTTAAACTCATAAAGTTCATAAGGAGCCCATATGTGACCCTCTTTGCAACCACAGGGTAGGTTTTCAGTCAATGCATACATTTATTTGCTCTTCTAAACACTTAGTCGTGGTTCCCTGTGAGGTTAAATGTGAGAGTAAATGTAGCTTCAGGTTACTGCAAACACTCACCCGACCGCAGAAGCCTTGCTTATAGTCTCAAAATCCTGGTTTAAGTCCTTTAGTATGGCCCCCTCTAGTGGTGAACATCTTCTACAGCGCTTTGACCGGGGCTCAGAAACAGCAGCGTCTTTCTCCTAGAAAACATGCAGCAGTTACACCTTTTACTCGATACAAAGACGGTTTGATAGTAAAACATGAACCCTACATTTCATCTATGTTTTGTGTTACTCACTGAGCTCAGCTTCTCCTCTGCTTGCTTTGCTTCCTCTGCAACACATTGAATGTGAGCCATCAAAGCGTCTGATAGTACTGTATGTTGTGTCTGTTTGTGTACTGTTCTGTACTAAGACCTATGTCTGTTCTTCATCACACAGCGACATCAGCAGGCCAATCAGTTAAAAACAGAAGCCCATGTCTTTGAGCAAATAACATTTATTCGTTCCCCCTTTATGAATTCCCAGCCCTCACCATGCTGCATGTTTTTCTCCAGGTAGAGGGTCAGGCAGTAGGGGTAGGCTGCCAGCTTCCTGTCACCGTGTTTGGGCACCACCTGACGCGCCCCTTCCCACCGCTTTTGATCTGGTACTCACGGTTAACAAAATACAGGTAATATCCAGTGAATATGCTTCAGGAGATTTATTCCTTGATCTGTGTTTAGTAAAGTATAATGAACAAATATGCTACCGTGCAATTTGCTAAAGCATCAAAATGAATGATGGTGATCTCAAGACTGAACTTTAGTTGTGTCATGCTCTGGATTTATTTTGTTACTGCAACAAGTAGAAGTCATTTTGGTGAAAATTGTGTGAGCGCGTGCCCATGTTTAAAGGTGACAGGCTGGAAGTGTGGTAGAGAGATACACAGCAATGGGATGGGTAGAAAGCTGACTGAAAAATAAATACTGTTCATGAATAAGATATGTCAAAGGATACAGGGGAAGATATTGAAGTGGGCACTAAAGAAGGGTTGGAGACTGTCCAGGTTGCCAAGAACCGTTCTGATAATTTCCTAAAAAGAGAAAGTAAGAGAGGGAGTTAGAAAGGAAAAAGCAAACTGTGAACAAGAAGGGGTCAGTTAAGTGTGAATGTAGACATTTAATTTAAGAATAGTGTGAACAAAACACATGTGAGTGCTGTGCAGTACCTGCAGTACCCATAATTACCTCCAGTTCCTGATTGAAGCAGTTTCCTCCCATGACCTCTTCTCCCCTGATGAAAAATGAATACATCACAATATGCTTTTTACATTTTTTTTTCTGAAAAGCTTCTGCAGCCTTAAGGCATTTCAGGATCAGTTAGGACTTTTATTCTGAGGCTTTATCCCTGAATCAAAGCAGACAGATCCCGTGGGGCCTTTGATCCACTTTTTCTCCTCTTTTCACAGATGAAACAAAAGACACACATCAGGATGTGTAACAGCAGCCATTACAGGCAGTAGTGTTAGAAGAAAACAAGTTAAAATGGAGAGAAAAGATCAATGTTTCCTCTGTTGCCTGAAGCTCAGCCATCTCCCCAACTGCTTTTAAGATTTAGGAACATTTTGCAATGCTTTGCAGGATTGAATCTCGAGGGGAAAAAGGAAAGGAGGTAGGGAAGGAGATAAGAGTGGATACCATGAATAGTCTTACTGTTGTTTGTCTTAGGGGCCTGTGTTGTTTTTCTCTGATTTCAAGAAAGAAGGACAATAATTCTTGTCTTTAGTTGCTCTAAGAGCCTTCTCTCTTTTTTTTTAGGTACGCTTATCACTATTTGAATGATAATCACCAAGATGTGCGACCAGTAACTAACAGCTACTTTAGACCATGTTATTACTAGCATAGTAATCGCAGCTGGCCTGGTTTTGGACTGGTTCCTTCTTTATTATGTCACAATAGTCCCTTTTTCTCTTTGCTCCCCTTTAGGCTAAGCCCTGAGTAAAACAGCAAGACAGTACTGGGCTGTCTTGGGATGTATCTGCTGACTTGTCTCGCTCTTTTCAACAAAGAGAACAGGAGAAGGGAAGAAAATATATCAAGAAATAAGGCAGGGCTGTGAAGATGTAAAGGACATGGTGTGCCTTGCCTGAAGCTGCAGCCTCCTCTTATCTTGATCTTGTAGATAAAACTACCAGCTCTGAAGAATCGAGTTTCAGCAAAAGTGGAGGAGAAGGCCTGCAGTGGCATGACTGACCTGACATGGTTTGGAAAACAAAATCACAAAAACAAGCTATTCATTTATTTATTGATGGACTTTTGGTTCAGAGGGCAACCAACATACAGTTCAACATAACCGGAAATGTTAAATTGATTTAGCTAACTAGCTTGCACACATTTATAATTAAATATTTATGGTGATAACATTTCCTTACTTAGTATATGAAATAACTGTCAAAAATATTGTTTTTCTCATTCGCGCTCTATTGAAATTACCGTAATGTCTAGAGAAACGATGGGCATGAAGTTGGTAGGTCGTCTAGCAGCAATGTACCTCCCCCTCCACCAGCACGCCAACGGTTAAAACCATGACCGTCAATCAAACACTCCTCGCCCCATGATTCGCTGGAAGAAGTGAGTTCCCGCCTTTGGATCGTTAGGCCTACTTTGATAAGCTAGATTTTCTTCCAATCACCAGCGGTAGAGCAGGAGTCACTAGGCTTGTTTGAGATGAGCTGCGGCTCGCCTCGAAAGTAGACGAATATAGCCGATTGAAACTGGGGGAGGTCTCAAAAAGCTCGCCTGTCAAGGCTGCCGGCGTCTTTGTCCCGCGAGATTTCAACGTCTCATGCAGTCGAGCCTCCAGAGAGCAAGTGAGCAAGTAGGACAATATTTACTAACCTTCATGCAAAGCACTAGCAAGACGGCGGTCGCAATTGCGCAGGTCTCCGTCGTTCTCGCTCATCTCAAACGAGCCAAACGAGTGATGGAGAACACCGCCTCAAAGATCACATGTCTGTCATGTGACCACGCATAGCAGGAAGGAGTAGTTGTAAATATTAGAAGTAATTTCACGTTTGCCTTTATGAACTTCTGACTTTTTAAAACGTGAAACGCGACATGCTATTGCCTTCTTATTCACCTCTTTTAATTGAAGGGAAAAGACTTAAAAGGTGAGATTATAATCTTTAATCATTATTTAGTGGCATTCCTACCCAGTTCCCTTAATATGGTATTATATTGCAAGGGCAAGGGACTCCAGGGTCCTTTCCCTGTTTATGGTGGGAATGCCTTTCAGTAATACACAGAAAGCTGTAGGGCATGGAACATTATAAAATTGTATTTACAGTTACTGATTTTTCATTGAAGTAAATCAATATTTTCTATGTATGTCTGTTGTAGACAAACTGTCCTAACAGGGTGCCAAAAAGAACAATCAGATGTCTTCCTCTTCTTCACCTTCCGTGCTCCTAAATACTGGGGTTCAGATGCCCCTCCTGGGTCTGGGGACCTACAAGTTGGTGGGTCCTGAAGATGTCTATCAGGCTGTGGATGCAGCGCTGGCGGCAGGTTATCGGTCTTTTGACAGTGCAGCCGTCTACCGAAATGAAGCTGACCTGGGCCGAGTGCTGAAGGAGCTCCTTCCCAAACATGGCTTAACCAGAGAGGATGTGTTCATAACAAGGTGATATACATGGGTTGGCCCATAACTCATTTAAAACATACATATAGAATGCAGCTGGAATATTTGATTACTGATTCGAAACTAAATCGTTTGCTGTATATAACCCTGATCATGTGATCTTTCTCCCTGCAGTAAACTGGGCCCGAAGGATCAGGGGGAGGGAGCGATGGAAGGAGCCCTCCACAGCCTGGCTCAGCTGGACCTGGGCTACATTGACCTCTACCTGATCCACTGGCCTGGCACACAGGGTCGTGTAGTGACTGACCAACGCAACCCAGGTAAAGAATCCGGATAAAGTCAAAGTTTTCCCTCGGGTACAAAAATGTAATTTAAATCATAACTGCGTATGCATGTGTTCAGTGGTGAAAGAAGTACTCATATCTTAAACTTAAATAGAAGTTGTAACATCAGTGTAAACATATTCTCTGTTCAAAATCCTAGTTACCCATGAATCAAATGTTTTATAAACAATTGCTTCACTAATGGTCAGTGTTATCCAAGTACAGCTACATTATGGAAGAGGGAGATAAACTGACATCTTGAATCTTATCTTTCATAAGATCCTAATGAATATTTAATTGCAGGTAACAGAGCTGAGAGTTGGGCCGCTCTGGAGGAGCTGCATGTCCCAGGGGAAGCTGAAGGCCATCGGAGTGTCCAACTACACACCAGCACACATGAGGGAACTGATACAGAGCTGCAAGATCCCTCCTGCTTTGCTGCAGGTAGGACACTGATAGAGGAGGAGGATGGATCACATGTATAATAGTTTTTTTTTAAAGAGACAATTCACACATTTTCTTTTTTTTGTTGTTTCTTCAGGTAGAGTTTCACCCAAGGCTTTGCCAGACAGAGCTGAGGAAAGTGTGTGAGGAGTATGAAGTGTGTTTCCAAGCGTACTCCTCCTTAGGGAAAGGAGAGCTGGTCACTGACCCTGTGGTGCTGGAGGTGTCAAAGAACTGTGAACGCACACCTGCACAGGTAAACACACACTAAGAGCCTCTTGACTAACAGTATTTTTGTACAAACGCTGACGTCTGTTGTTCCCCTGCAGGTCCTGTTGCGCTGGGCTGTGCAACAGGGTGTCCCAGTGCTGCCAAAGTCCTCAAATCCAGACAGAATAAAGGACAATGCCAGGCTTTTTGACTTCACACTGAGTGACACAGACATGGACAGACTTTCAGCTTTGGACTGTGAACACAAATATTGCTGGGATCCATCAGAAGTGGTTTGAAAGACCACATATTCACAATGCCTCTTTAATTTGGCTGTTCTTTAGCTCTGACTGCAAAGACGAAGTGGTGGTAAAGGTGAGAGGTTGGATATGGACAACTCAGTTACGTAATAAATGCACTGGACTGATGTATTCAGAAATTTGGCAAATATATGTACTACGCTTCTGAGAGTTCAGGAAACCTTTTAGAAAACATTTACTTATAAGTGGTCCTTTTAATTGTCACCCATATGCCATGAAACATGCAAAGCCTTTTAGGCCTAAATGTGCTGCATGTAGAGCAAAACCGTGTCATCATGTTAAGACTATTTCTATATTCTTTGGTGCCTCACACTTTAATTCATATGCAAAGTCAGAATAAAATAATTAAAAAACAGAAACATTGTGTTTATTAAATGTCTTCAATTTGAAATATAAATGTGTACAGTGCATATTATTATTCTTCAATATACAAGATACTAACTTGATTGTGTTCTTTAAAAAAAAAAAAAAGGTGTCCCATTCCCGCCTTCCGGTTTCTAATACGGCTCTGCTTCTTCTGATTGTCTTCAACCAATCAGCAGCGTCCTAACTGTCACATGGTTGTCAGCTCTCACGTGTAGCAGGAAGAAGTACTTGTAAACACTCCTCTGTGTAACGGCTAAAATTAGAAATAAGGCGAGATTTCCTTGCATGGTCTCTCACAAATTCTGCTGCTCTTCTTCGAAAGTATTCAGCTGAAAAGGTGAGATGAAAATATTGTCTGTAAATATGGCATTTAATCGCGGTTTACACTGTACTACGGTAATGTAACGGTTTCTTCGTTTTTATGAATACTGCGTCATAATAGCCGTCACACTGCCAATATTAACATAATTGCGGTTATGTTCGTAATTCTGTGACGTTTAAAACAGCAAAAGTAACAAACAACCAAAAATAACATGTAAATATCCCTCACTGTCCTTCAGTTATAATGGCAGACGGAAACTTAAAGATTGCTGTAAGCTAGCAACTCTTAAAATACAATAAGAATTACCTAACGCTTTTTTATTTTTCACATTTGGTGTGAAAGTGTAGCTCTGTTAAGGTGCAGAGAGAGCACAGCCCTGCTTTAAAGGGAGACCGTTTTTCCTGTGACCCCTCTATATGGCATGGCTCTGCTCATTTAGTCTGTACTTTGTCATGTTCTGTTTCAATGTAGATCATTAACCACGTTTACATGATCTGTTATGAGAAACTGTACTACCAGATAGCATTGTATTTGCATATACAGTCACTTACTGCCACAGCCACATTGCACTCCTAGTTGCACTGTTACATCCTTGTGTCCTGATATTGCATGAACACTGTATCTTTTGTATAGGGACAGGTATGTAGCATAAAGCAATGCCACACAACAGCATTTGTTATCATGCATATGTGTAAAGCCTGTCCATATATTGGCCTATTAAAATGCATAAAACTCAACAACACATTCACAAATGATGGTACAGAATACACACTTAATAATAGATGGATAGATTAAATACACAAAACTCAACAAAAAAATACAGACGGAACAATACCTGACACAAACTTAAACAATATAGGACCATACAACAAGAAGCAACACATAATTCATCCCTACATGCCTTATCCCTCTTTAAAACATTCCACATTAAAACCCTCGGACCTTCCTCTGTAATGAATGAAACTGTTGCTAAAGGTCGATGTATAAAATCAAACTACTGTCTCAACAAGAAAAATCCCTGTCTCTTTCTTTCACAGTTTTGGGTAAACCAACAGGATACAGAAAAGCAGAACTGCCTTCAGATCAGATGTCTTCCTCTTCACATTCTGTCCTCCTAAAAACCGGGGTTCAGATGCCCCTCCTGGGTTTTGGGACCTACAAGTTGGTGTCTCCTGAAGATGTCTCCCGGGCTGTGGATGCAGCGCTGCTTGCTGGTTATCGGGCTTTTGACAGTGCAGCCGTATACCTGAATGAAGCTGAACTGGGCCGAGCGCTTAAGCAGCTCCTGCCCAAACATGGCTTAACCAGAGAGGATGTGTTCATAACCAGGTGATGTTTAGGCACATGTCCTTTCCAAAAGAGCACATTATGTCAGTAAATAAGGGATCTATGAAGTACAATAGTAGCTAAATGTATTGCATTTTTTTTTTTTAACTTGTGTGTTGAATACAGCTGGAATATAATCAAATTGATGCTAGGTAAAATGACAAATATACGCCTACACTGTACGGTTTCCTCATAACCTTATTTTCTCTAAGAAACCATATTGAGGCACTGATGACTCTCAAAGGCACAGCGTACAATACTTAACTTCTCTCTTTCTCCCTGCAGTAAGCTGGGCTCCAAGGATCAGGGTGAGCGAGCCATGGAAGGAGCCCTCCACAGCCTGTCTGATCTGGACATGGGTTACATTGACCTCTACCTGATCCACTGGCCTGGAACACAGGATCTAGAGATAACTGACCCATGCAACTCTGGTAAAGAATTCATATTCATGCTGCTTAAGACGGTAGACGGCAAAACAGATTTCATTTTAGTGGACGAAAGCAGGACAGTGGCAATAAATGTGTTCAGCAAAAAAGACTGTAAAGGTCCGCACCACATCATCTAAAGTTAATTTTCTTCAAAGGGTACTTTTTTGACAGTATTTACTTGGGATGTTAAGGTACACCCTCACAAAAGTAGACAACATTAGTTTATGGGCAAGAGGAAGCTAATCATTTAGACAATTTCAACAAATACACCTCTACCTAACTATCCATTTTAAGATTAAATTACCTTACAATTAATTTAGCTTTTACATTTGAGAGAGAAATGCATTTTATAGCTACATGCATTACTAAAATAATTACATATACTGTAATAAGAGACACTGAATAACTTTAGCCATGTGTAGCAATATTTGATAATGTAATGCTTTTTACTAATTAAGAGTTAAGATTCAATCTCTTCTCGCTCCTCTACAGTTTAGTTGTACTTGAGTTACACGGATGATAAGATCCTAATGAATATTTAATTGCAGGTAACAGAGCTGAGAGTTGGGCCGCTCTGGAGGAGCTGCATGTCCAGGGGAAGCTGAAGGCCATCGGAGTGTCCAACTACACACCAGCACACATGAGGGAACTGATACAGAGCTGCAAGATCCCTCCTGCTTTGCTGCAGGTAGGACACTGATAGAGGAGGAGGATGGATCACATGTATAATAGTCTTTTAAGAGCTGATGCACACTGTGTTTTTAATTGTTTCTTCAGGTAGAGTTTCACCCAAAGTTCTGCCAGACAGAGCTGAGGAAAGTGTGTGAGGAATATGGAGTGTGTTTTCAAGCATACTCCTCCTTAGGGAAAGGAGATCTGGTCACTGACCCTGTGGTGCTGGAGGTGGCAAAGAACTGTGAACGCACGCCTGCACAGGTAACGCACACGCATACAAACAAATAAAATACCTCTCAATGAACATATTTTTGTGGCAGCCTCCCGTCTAGACATTATTTGGAAACCTTTAGGTCTGTTGTTCCCCTGCAGGTCCTGTTGCGCTGGGCTGTGCAGCAGGGTGTCCCAGTGCTGCCAAAGTCCTCAAATCCAGACAGAATAAAGGACAATGCCAGGCTTTTTGACTTCACACTGAGTGACACAGACATGGACAGACTGTCAGCTTTGGACTGTGGGCACAAGTTCTGCCGGGACGCATCACAGGTGGTTTGATAAACCACACATGGGCTCATATTAAGCGTCCTAAATGCTGTTCTTTCGTTTTTACTGGCAATTACAGGATACCACAACCAGAACAAATGGGAAATTAGAAATGGATCAAATGTGCTGGGCTGATGTATTAAGGATTTAGTAAATGTACTTACTGAAATATCTAAGAGCTCAAGTAACATTTGGGACACATGTTTCCAATAATGTATACTGTTTATCATGACCAATCATCCATGAAACACTGAACCTTTCAACAACAACAAAATGTTGACATATGTGCCGCCTTTTATAACTAGTAAACTGACTGGTTTAGACTTCAAAGTATTATTCCGTTTGTTTGTGTTCTAGCTTTGCATTTGAATTGTTAATGAACATTTTTGCATTGAAAGAAATATGATTTCAGTGTCCTTTGTACTAGAGAACTTTCAAGAATTACACAGCGACTCATTTTTAAACGACTCTAAAATTCTTTATTCAAGACCGCATATACAAGAAGTTTCACAGCTGTAGAGAAAATTTGCAAAAGATATTAAAAAAAGGAAAAGGAATTTCCAAAAAAAGAGGGAATATTCAAATTCTATTTTCTCCCCACACACATATCCAGATTCAAGTAATACCAAGGATGGTTGCAAAACTCCAGGTTCCCAGGCAGGTCTCTCCTCTGGGGTGTGTTCACTGCTACTAATGTTTAACAGTCAAAACCACAATGTGAATTCCATCAATCGACATTTTATATTTTTATCACAGTTGACTTTTTCTTGAGCGTAAAGGTGACAGTGACCGTAAAAGTTAAGGCGGTAATCGGGTAAACACATGGCTGATAATGCACAGGTACACCACAGTTCCAGCATGTTCAAGGCATTCATGTTGACAATATGATTTTCTTTTAAATTCATATCTGACCCTAAGCTCTGAACACCGTGTACAAACTCTTTATCAGCTGATTTACTGTTGTTCTTGTGTCAAAGTACAGGTCTACTAGGAGTGGAAACACTATTTATGTAAACACCCGTTCCTCATTTCCCTATTGATCTGTTTATGAAATGGGATATCAAATAATGGAGTCACTTTAATGTAGCTAAAATGTAACAGCCTAGTCTAACTGTATTCATTGAGTTGGGAGCTTTACCAAAACATATAGTAAACTTGATTGAATCTCAAAAAACAATGGCCCCTTTTTCAGATTGTCTAAAAAATCTCTGATTAAAAAAAAGTTTCCCGTTTAAGAAAAGCTATAAAGGTTTTTTTAGTTTAAAAGACGATACAGATGCAGCCCCCTCAGCCTGCAACACTTCACAACTCAACCCTACCAGTCAAGAGGAAGAGAGTTAGACACAAGAAGAACAAACCTATTACCATTTTCAATAATCACATTGATAAACAATTCACAAATAGCCAATCCATGTAGAAGTCCCGATCTTAGTTAATATATAAGCCAGAATATAACGCATAAAAAGCAAATCTAGATCAGCACTTAGACTTAAGGCTTCATACATTAAGATCCATTTTATTCAGATCCTAATGCAGATAAAGAGTGACCAACCTGCATGTAACTCATTGTTTTATAATCTTAAAAGCACAGGAAACTGATTTTCCTGAACAGATAGTTTTATAAAGACAAGTTTAAATCCCTTCCACCAGTGTTTGAAATGTGATTTTACTCTAAATCCACCTCCTTTATGCACTCGTTGCTGATTAAACCGAGGCCAAAGGCTTGTGTGTAGGCTTCTTGTATAGCAGTTAATATATCCCCGCCCAAATATTTAAATATGCAATTACATTTATCGCAACAGCCATGGATTGTACACTGCCTATTCCTAGGTTGGCCAACCTTATTAAATAGCATGGTAACCTTGTAAAATAGGAACTCGATAAATACAAATCTGGCTAAAGCAACCCCTCCAGCACCCCTGCAATTTGATAAAATATTAACAAAATATTTACACATTAAAGTTACAAGGTCTTATTTTGTTTGCTCATCAAAGGCTTTGAAAAGATAAATTCACATTGGTTTGTGCTTTTTTTATTTTATAGTAATATCATTTTCTTCAGATATAATCTAAACCTGAAGTCTTACAAAAGATAGTATTTTCTGTTAGAGATTGTCCTTGTACAAGATTGTTCTTCTTTTGATAAATTTCAGATATAAAGCAGTTAATGATAGTCAAGTACGTACAGTTGTTTAAATTGTACTAGCTTGCAGGTAGTAGTAAAGGAAGTTAGATAAAGGCCTGAGCTGAATACTCTAAAAAATCCTTCCCATTTGATCCTCCATCCTCTGTTACCTGCAGGTTATTTTGGCACACAATTACAGTGGTCTCCACGAACTAACATTCGAAGCAAAACAAGCATAAGTAACACATTTCCTCAAGAAGATGAGGAAGGAAATTCTAACAGCATTCAAGGTGGCCTTGGGTGTTTTGTTTCCAGTGCATTTATACCTCTCCATCCACAGTATATTGCATAGTGTTGATGGGAGAGACAACTGAAGTGGTTAGCACCTTTTAAACTGAGTAGTCACCGCTCAAATCCACTTAATGCTGGACTTTCTTTATGTTTTCAAGAGCTCTTCTCTCCTCCCTTGGCCCGTCTTTTTATCCATTCTATGGGGTTCAGATAGCCACCAGTCCATCATGCCTGACTGACTCTTACCATTTCACAGTGCGCTGCCCAGCTATATAGTTAACATCAAAACCAACACAAATGCAAAAAGATTTATCTAAATGTAGTTACCAATGACGTATAAAAATGACATGACTAGGATGGGACACTTGGTCAGAGCAGGTCTTTTTGTTCTCATCACGATTGTTCTCCTGGCTTCCCCATTGCTTTCTTCTCATTCCTTGAACCTCAAGTCCCTCTTAATTTTCTCTCCTGGTGCTTATTCGTTGCGGTGAGTGTGGCTCTCATGGTGGTTGTTCTCTCCCTCCATCTCCTGGTGACTGAAGAGGTAGCTCCACCAGGTTTTCGAGTGTGGCATCTGTTTGGCCGGCCCGGGACTTCTCACCTTTTTCATTTCCTGCGCAAAATAGAGACAATGTTTAAGACACGTGACATTATGTGATATTATCTAGGGGGGGATCTCAATCAAAAAATAACAATTGATGCCCTGAAGTAGAGTGGGATCATGGCCGTTTTTGCAATTAATAACAAACAAAAAAAGCAGATTCATGTTAAAGGCAGTGTTTTCCCCCTGTAACCGTTAAGGCGTTTTGAACGCTTGCTGAGCCAATCTTTAAACTGGATTTGATATACAGTTAAAAACATCTAGGATCTAAAAAGTAGATCATAAAAATGTGGCTTCAAATTGGATATAAGTAAATGAATGTATTACAACCTCAACGTGCTGACGCATGTTCTAAAAGGATAAGAAACCATTACTGGCGGCCAAATAAAACACGCCGTTACCTTAATTAAACATCACATTTTCTCTGAGTTTGAAAACTGTTGGAACATTTGTCAACAAAATGAATAACATAGATTTAGTCAATCCTTTGAAATGTTAAAAACTACTTTTTTTAGCCGTTATTCCCCACATTTTCAGATACAACTGAAGATGGACTTCCACCCTCTGACCCCTCGTTCTCACCCCTTTGTCCAGCATGCTGTCGAACTCGTCGCTCATCCTCCGGAGCTGCCGGCCGTATTTCTTGGCTGCCCACAGAGCAGGGGGAGCTGACTTGGACCGTCCCCTGAATGGAGCACCCTCCGTGGGCGTGCCGACTTCGTCTTCCCCCCGAGCCTGGAGCTCCTCGTCTCTGGAGACAGTGTAGGCGTGGGACTCTGAGTTGAGCCTGGTTCGCCCGGTCCCTTTAAAGAAACAAAGGTGAGAGGAGTTAGTAATGATCACAGGAGCATGAGGGCTTATATGAGAATGAATGAAAATAAATCATTAGTTACCACTGGGCTGAAAAAACATGTTCAACAATGTCAAACTAGGGGGATTTACATTTGAAATGCTTACATTTCAACCCAAAATGCAATCTCACCTAATGTCACCAAGTACATAACTATAAATGTATAATATTTGTTGTGTAATGAGGCCTACAAAACAAAGCTAACAAATGGCAGGACTGTTGCAGAAAACTAAAAAGAGCGGTGCTTTCTTTTTGATCACAAAACTGAATAGAAGTTGGAATACTTGTGGATCTTTAATTATAAAGTAGCGTTGAGCATGGTATTGCACATACTGTTAACTGGAGCAGAAATACACTTTTGGGTCCCACCTGGATCAGTTTGTGGTAAAGGATGCTCAAACATTACTTGGTGTTTTTCCAGTTTTTAAAGCACTGTTTATTTCATTCCCATTTCTCACACAATTCCTTGCGTTTTCCTACCTGTCAATCTGAGCTCAGGAAGGGTGACGGAGTGTCGTTGAGGAAGCTGCTGCCCCTGCACAGGGGACGGTTGGATATGTTCTCCTTCCTCGGCCCCCTCTGATGAATCTGACTCACTGTCAGAAATATTAAAGTGTGCAGCCATCGTCACATCTAGAGAAGTAAGATTCCCACAAATTGGAAAGAGGTAAACATGAATGAATTACTACATATGGCAGACAATGAAATAGTCATAAGTAGATGTACATGCTGTGCACATATTATTGTGAGTACATTTCATTGTTATTAAACCACAGCTGGCTAATATCAGTGTTGCCCTGCACTTGACCTGTATGAGATAACAATACATATAAATGTCCATTCTAATGTAAAGCTAAATGTGTTCCTATACAGTACATATCTATTATAAAGAAGAGCATGGCTACAAAAATGTGTCCATATAGCAAGTGTGCTTTCGTTTTACTAAGCTAATTATTCGAGCATTTTAAAATGGCATCATCCATTGTATGGCTGATGCTGCCTAACACACCCAGCAGCATATATGTTACGCTTCCCTGGCATAAGACAGTCCAAAGGTATTCACAGTGAGATAACAGACCCGTTTTGGCAACACGGACCAATATTTGATATCCTAAATCACCCGTTGTTACACTGTTTTTAAAAGAAGCCAGCACACATTCCTCTCCGGTCAACACGCTGACTCGCTTTTTTGTTGTTGTTGACTGAAGAGGACAAAAGAAACTTACTACAGGGCGGAAGCTGCTCCGGAGCTACATTAGTTCGTTAAAAAGCAGTATTAATAGGTTTCCTTACCCGAAATCATTTTAGCGGGTGCCCGAAAAGTGCGAGTGTGTCCTTAGCTGGCCTCATGCGGCCGCAGCTGTTGTTTTTGTTATCGGCGTCTTGTCTTTTTAATGTACAATACTCTTTAGCTCCTCGCTCACCCAATCGCCGAGCGTCATTGTACCGCCGCTGCGCGATGACGTCACTGTTGCGAGCTAGGAACTGGGCTGGTGCTTTGTTTGTCTCACCGGGTACCGTAATGCTCAGATTAGAGGCACAGCATGATTTAAAATGCACAGAAGTATTGGCATTTGTACTTGTATCCATCTTTTTCTATTTGAATCATTGGTGGATTCAGACCTTATACTACTAAAAGTAATACTACAGTTGTATACAACTCCATTACAAGTTAAAGTCCTTACTTATCTTTTATATGCAGCAGAATAGTCCCTTTTAAGAGGCATTTTGTTATTAACTGTATTATTGGAATATTACTACTAATGTGTTAATGTGCAAGCAGCCTTTTAATATTGTAGCTGGTTATTGTGTAAGTAGCAGCCTTTTAATTGTGTAGCTGGTCTAGGTGGGGATTATACTTATTTAGGCCTATACTTAGGCCTATATAGCCTACTGTTGGGTGGTTATGTTGCAGTTATGTAATGTGGTAACTCAGACCAAAAGGTTTGCAAAACACGGGTTTAATACATACAATTGGATCATATTTAATTGACAGATTATCTGTTTTGAATGTAAAATCTTAAAAGCCAAGGTTACTACTCTATTTAGCTTTCAAATGACAATGAAGTTTTGTAGAAGTAAAAGAAAGCATACAATGAATACTGAAGTAAACAACAGGCATTTCTAAATTGTATTTGTGCACTAATTCATTGTATCAAGGCTTTATTATATTACATGGCAGAATAAATACTTATTGTCTCTGTTAGCGGTAAAGTTGAGTATCATTCTCCATTATATCCATTCTCTCTATCATGTTTAGAAAAGAGAACATCTATAAAAAACAGATAAACACTTAACATACATACTGACTGACTGACAGACCAGAAATATGGAAATACCTGAATAGGCTTGGTCCATGTTGCCTGCTGATATAAAACGAGTTTCATTCTTCCTAAAGACACTCATTACTTTCTCTCCTAAAGGAATTCAGAGACTGCAGGGTAAAGGTTAATTAATATGACATAGACATGGAGGGCAGTCCCATGTTACACAACAGTTATAAGAGGTTTGCTTTTGTCAGATGTTGAAGCTGATAAGCAGAGGGTTGGGCGGGCATGCACGTGTAAACACGCAGATTGTGTCTTACTGAACATTAGGAAATAATCATTCTTTAAAGTGATTTTTATTTGTGTATGACGTGTTAGACATTTACACTCTTTTTTTCCTATTCTCTCTTACTGATAAATGTGGGACGAGGAGAGGATAGAGTTTGTTGTCATGCCTGGTATGGGCAGCAGATGGCGATTCAGGCCCATAAACTCATTTTTACTGGTGTTGCTGAGCTGTGTTCCTCTTTGGTCTCACTGCTACATCATCTGTCACAGGTTGTGTGGTTTCCTGTGAACATAGAGAATAATCCCATGTCTAGTTTTCTGATTTTGCAATAACGTGTTTTGCAACATGTGTATTTTTCTTGATGTCAGTATGGGGGTTTTCCATTAAAATTGCAATATGAAATCTCCGTCAACAGGAACATAGAGTGGTTCTTATTTCCTGAAAAGCTGGCATTGCAGAAGTGATGCTTTTAACTGAGTCTTTCTTATTTAAAAACATGTCTTTTATTGTTTCTACAAAATCATTACAGTACTGTATATAGGGGTGTGTATCTGTGCATCCACCACTGATTGCCTCTCTACTTTGCTCTCTTGCACTTTCCTCACATCAATGCGAGAGAGTCGACTATGTAATTATCTACCATTTATATCTAGAGCTTTCTCCATTCCTCCTCGACATCATCCTTCTCTCTCCCCTCTCTTGCATTAAGAGCCTCTCCTGGGATTAGAAAGAAAATTAGTGTATTTTGCCAAGTCAGTAAGTGACACTTGAGTAGGAGGAGCAAACTATTTTTGTCGAAACTGTGATGGGATTTGAGGCGATGCGATGCAGCTTCTTCTAATTCAGTGTATCCAAACAGAACTAATGTGAGTTTCTAAGCTTAGACAAACAGGCAGAGTCAGCTTTTGGTGTAAGGATGGTGCAGCTCTGGAAAGCTACAGTTAAGACTTGCCTCTTTTGAACTATTTTTAGAGGGATTGTAGAAATAATACATGGAAGCTCAGTTTTCTTTTGGTTGGTTGGATTCCGGTGCTGTATGAGAGACCATACAGTTATTACAATCTTAATCTGTGTGTGCTAGTGTAAAGCCATGTTGTACTACATTTATACAATTTGAGAGTCATCATAACACTACTATCCATTAGAGTGTGTGAGTGAGAAAGACTGTCCTGTACATGCTGGATGATTTTCACACACGTACACAGACAGTGTGTTTAAGTTTGCAGTGTAATCTTAAGGAACCTTACAATTAGCATCCATTTATATCTTCCTGTACCAGCCTCGCCCTGCCTCCCTTCCCCTCATCTGGTGATTATTTTGGGACACGGAGGCGTACGCACTCCCACACGGTCTCTAAACCACCACTCAGTGTGTGTGTGTGGCTGTTTGAGAGCAGCAGCGTTTCCAAGCGGCTACCAAATGTTCCTTCCAATTTAATGCCAGGGCACTGTCTGTCTGTCTGCCGCCGCCGCAGCTTCACTCACCGTCCTTTGAAACATTTCCCCCTCTCTGCAGACTCCAGTTCAGTCTATGTGGGAGCTGAGCAGGATGCAGAGCAGGTTTTTGAATTATTTGAAGTGGGAAAGCTTAGAGAGAAGAAGAAAGATGGTGTCAAAGAAGTGGGTTTCCCAATCCCTGAGAAAAAGATTAGAAGCACACCAGAAATACTGACAGTGTGCACTTAAAAATGAAGGAAGAAGGGACACAGTTATTGAGAAAGCAACAGATGTAGGATCAAAGGCAGACCATGACATAAGAGATGTGTCTTAAGAGTGCAAAGAGAGAATTAAGGCCGACCTTTGGAAGACTGAGGAAGAGTCTGTGAGACGGATATCAGAGGAATGGCAAAAGTGTAAAGAAGAGCTGAAAAAGCAAACCGAACCTACATCACTCTTCCAGCCTTCGCTACCAACCGGAGCACTTTCATCGTTTCTTTCAGTACATGCTCATTATCTATGAGCCGCTCCCTCGCTATATAACTAAGTCACAGACTGTGATCACAAGGGCGGCATAAGGCAGCTTTCTAATTTCATCCACCCCACCCTTGGTGCAGCCTTCCAATCTTATAACCCAGCTCTTCTTATAAACTAAAGTTTTGGGCTGAAAACGGTTTGCTTACTTTTTCTTAGGTAGATAAAAATACAAAAAATGTCCTCTTCAGCATTTGATGGAGGACCGTTGCTGAAATCTTTCTTTTCTTTTGACAAGTGAGAAAACTGTCATAGTGTTGAGGGAACTTTCCCCTCCCCTGTGCAAAAAAGGTTTTGTTTCAAGAAGCTGTTGTCACCCAAATATCTCCAAACTTGAAAAGAACGGTTTGACATTTATGGAAATGTATGATTTTGGAAAGAAAGCACATCACTCGCATATTTTCTCATCATTGTATGTAAGCCGCCAAATCATGGTGATTCCATCCGGAAACTGAGTTCTCTTCATGTTGATGGCAGCAGTCGTGGGTATATAGTCGTGTGATACTCAAGCCTAAGGGGCTAAAGTTGCTAATCAGTTTCATGAGGGAGATTGTGTTGAATGCTGCACAAACCCCATTCTAATGTAAGTGTTGTTATTTTTCAGAGGTGCTAGGGCAATGTAGAAGGTATCTTTTAATGATCTGTTTGCTTTGTACTGTATGCAGAATGGTGTAGATCCAGGGTGGCTGTTGTTTTGTAGAACCAGAAGACTTTTTAGGTATAGAATCGACTTGATGTCAGTGCCCGTCTTCACTTTTAGAAAGAGTCCTCTCACATCCACTTTGTATACTGACAGTTACAGGTCCTCTGGAGGCGGGGCAGACTGACAGCAGACTCTTTGTTGAAGAGATCAAAACGAGCATAAATGGTGTTAAGCTCATCTGTCGCATATGTGCTTGTCCCTGCAATGTTATGGCATTTACAGGCTAGTCTTTTATCAGCATTTTCCCCTTAAATGCGTCTAGGTCTGGGGGAAATCAGCAGTACAGATTTGACTGAAGATAAGTTCATGATACTGTTGACACATGTTCCTTTGCATGATATGATACAGTAGGGTTAGACTGCATGCGTAAATGGGACTTTAGTAAAAGTCTTCCCAGTCCTGGCTTGGCTAAAGTTTAAAAACCAGGTTAAACACTGTAATTAACCCCTGCCTTGACTTTAGTGGACACACACACTCACTCCTACCCACGCCTGCTCTCTATCTTGTCAACGTGAAAGCCACCCACACTCTCATCCAGCCCTTCTCAACCCTCTAATATCATCAATTATGGTTGGGCTGTTTTCATGTGGTGTGAGTGGTACGTGTGCTCAGAGAGTTAATGTATATGTATACATGCTGCTCAGAAACATATGTATTCCATATGAAATCTGTTAGGTGCACACTGTCATTATGTTTTCTAATAATAGTTAATGAGTAGATGTAGTCTTTGAATGGCTCAGGCTGTGGAAATAAAATCATGATAAGCGACGTCCTGTTCTGCAAATCATTCACATTCAATCCATTGCGTCCTGGCATATAGACGTGCACAAGCTCAGTGTTTTAATTATTCACTGTTTGCTGCAACTTAATAATAGATCATTAAGTAAGCATTATCACTATGCTGCTTTAATTGAATGCAATTAATTTAGCTTTTGTTGGCTGATTGGTTTATGTATTCCACCATTGAGGTCTGCCTGAAGCAAAACATTTTTCATGCTACACTTAATTATCATGGCAGAGTCTCCGTATTAGTCTTTTGTCCACATAGTGAGGTGCAAATTAGAAGACAAAATAATCAATTACTTCAAGCAGTATTAAAGAGGTTTGTATATACGTTCTTTTAAATGTTATCCTAAAAGGAGGTTTGTATATACGTTCTTTTAAATGTTATCCTAAAAGGAGGTTTGTATATACGTTCTTTTAAATGTTATCCTAAAAGGAGGTTTGTATATACGTTCTTTTAAA